TTGTTCACTTAAGAAGGCTTTCTTATCTCTCTGTGCTTTTCTCTGGAATTCTGCATTCAGTTGGGTATATCTTTCCCTGTCTACTTTGCCTTGCATTTCTCTTCTTTTTTCAGCTGTTTGTAAGGTCTCCTCAGACAACCACTTTACCTTCTTGCTTTTCTTTTTCTTGAGGATGGTTTTGGTCACCACCTCCTGTATAATGTTAAGAACCTCTGCCCATAGTTCTTCAGGCATTCTGTCTACCAGATCTAATCCCTTGAATCTATTCATCACCTTCACTATATAATCATAAGAGATTTGATATAGGTCATACCTGAATGGTCTAGTAGTTTTTCCTACTTTCTTCAATTTGAGCCTGAATTTTGCAATAAGAAGCTGATGATCTGAGCCAAAATATGCTCCAGGTCTGTTTTTCTGATTGTATAGAGCTTCTCTGGAAATGGCAACCCACTCCAGTATTCTTGCCTGGAGAATCCCAGGGACAGGGGAGCCTCTTGGGCTGCCGTCTATGGGGTCGCACAGAGTCAGAGACTACTGAAGTGACTTAGCAGCAGTAGCAGCAGCATAGAACTTCTCCACCTTCAGCTGCAAAAAATATAATCAGTCTGATTTCAGTATTGACCATCAGGTAATGTCCATTGTAGAGTTGTCTCTTGTGTTGTTGGAAGAGGGTGTTTGCTGTGACCGTGTGTTCTCTTGGCAAAACTCTGTTAGCCTTTGCCCTGCTTCATTCTGTACTGCAAGGCCAAGCTTGTCTGTTATTCCAGGTATCTCTTGACTTCTGACTTTTGCATTCCAGTCCCCTATGATGAAAAGGGCATCTTTTTTGGTGTTAGTTCTAGAAGGTCTTGGAGGTCTTCCTGGAATCATTCAGCTTTGGCATTAGTGGTTGGGGTATAGACTTAGATTACTGTGAGGTTGAACTGTTTGCCTTGGAAACAAGCCAAGATCATACTGTCTTTTTTGAGATTGCACCCAAATGTTGTATTTAGGACTCTTGTTGACTGTGAGGGCTACCCCATTCCTTCTAAGGGATTCTTGCCCACAGTAGTAGATATAATGATCATCTGAATTAAATTCGCTCATTCTCATCCTTTTTAGTTTACTGATTTCTAAAATGGCAGTGTTCACTCTTGCCATCTCCTGTTTGACCACTTCCAATTTACCTTGATTCATGAAGGTTCCTATGCAATATTTTTCTTTACAGCATCAGACTTTACTCTCACCACCAGACATATTGACAACTGGGCATCCTTTCTGCTCTGCCTCAGCCTCTTCATTCTTTCTGGATCTATTTCCCCGCTGTTCCCTGGTAGCATATTGGAACCTGGGAGGCTCATCTTTCAGTGTCATGTCTTTTTGCCTTTTCATACTGTTCATGGGGTTCTCAAGGCAAGAACAGTGAAGTGGTTTGCCATTCCCTTCTGCAGTGGATCACATCAGAACTCTGCACCATGACCCGTCCGTCTTGGGTGGCCCTACATGGCATGGCTTAGTTTCACTGAGTTAGACACGGCTGTGGTCCATGTGATTAGACTGATTAGTTTTTTGCGATTGTCGTTTCAGGCTGTCTGCCTCTGATGCCCTCTCTCAGCGCCTACCGTCTTACTGGGGCTTCTCTCACCTTGGCCGTGGGGTGTCTCTTCACGTGGGTTATATGGTAGCTTTATGTTTACCCTTTGGCGTCAGTGACACTGTTTTCCCAGCGGCTACACCATCTCGTGTTCCCACCATCAATGTACAGCGGTTCCAGTTTCCCCATAGCCTCGTCAGCACTGGTTATTTTCCTTTTTTTTTTAATTAGACCTGGTGGCCCCAGTGGTAGAGAATCTGCCTGCAATGTGGGAGGCTTGGTTGATCCCTGGGTAGGGAAGATCCCCTGGAGAAGGGAACGGCTACCCACTGCAATGTTCTTGCCTGGAGAATCCCAGGGACAGCGGAGCCTGGCGGGCTACCGTCCATGGGGTCTCAGAGTCGGACACAACTGAGCGACTCTCGTCTTCACTTTCACTGGTGGGCGTGGTGCATGGGGTCTCAGAGTCGGACTCAGCTGACTGACTTGCGTCTTCACTTTCGCTGGTGGGCGTGGGGTCGTATCTTGTTGGCATTTGGACTTGCGTTTCCTTAATGACAGTAGTAGTAAGCATCTTTGATTTGCTTCTTGGCTGTGGCTGTATCTTCTTTGGAAGAAAATGTCACTTCACGTCGTTTGCCCGTTTTTTAACTGAGCCCTTTTTCTTTTTGTTGTTGAGCTGTAAGAATTCTTGATATATTCTGGATCCTCAGCCCCTATCAGATCTATGATTTGCAGCTATTTTCTCCCACCTGTAGTTTATCTTTCCACTTTCCGTCAGGCTGAAGACAGTATTTTGGGGTGATTTTTTGGTACCTTGTAGAAATAAACCCAGGTGTGGCTCAGCTAGTAAAGAATCCGCCTGCAATGCGAGAGACCTGGGTTCGACTCCTGCGTTGGGAAGATCCCCTGGAGAAGGGAAGGCTACCCACTCCAGTATTCTGGCCTGGAGAATCCCATGGACTGTATAGTCCATGGGGTTGCAAGGAGTCAGACGCGACTGAGCGACTTTCACTTTCATGTCGAAATAAGTCAAACCAGCCAGTGTCCTTTGTTTTGATTATTTTGCTATTTTAATTGAGTTGGATGAATTTTAAGAACAGTAAAAACAGTAAAACACTCATGGAGAAAAGCGAGCAATACAGAGATATGAAAATGACCCGTCGTTTTCAGCCCCCTGTCCTATCCCTCCCCTGGGGAAGTAATGTTAGCTCGGTGTCCTGAGATTCACAGGTGCGGGGACCTGGCCCCCTCTGCCTCCTGGGGGTGGTGGAGACGGGAGAACTGGCTGCTCCTGGAGGTGGGTCTCTGCTCCCAGGCCTGGCCCCCAGTGGGCAGGGGCATGTCCGCACACACACACCCTGGACGGCCTGGAGCGTCACGGGCCCTGACCCCTCCGCACGGTGTGGACTCTCCGCTGCACGGCCGGCCTGCGCGCCTGCATCGGTGGTGGGGGCTGGCTGTGGCCCCAGCTGATGCGGCAGATCCAAGTCCCCATCCCCGGCAGACACACCTCTGCTTTCTGCTTCTTCCAGGCCGGGGAGAAGCACTACCACCCTCTGTGCGCGCTATGTGTCCGGTGCGGCCGGATGTTCGCAGAAGGCGAGGAGATGTACCTGCAAGGTAAGAAGAGGAGCGTGCCGCCTGGGACCTGGGACCCGGGGGCACCAGATAGGTGCTCGGGGATTCACGCCCTGTTCCGGGTGCGCTGGCGGGTCAGTGAGCTTTCGGGTGTCAGGGCCGGCTGGCTTTCCCCACAGGGACCCTATTCAAGAGCAGGACCCAGGACTAGTGGACATGTGGGTCCCAGTTGCATGCGGCCTGTGGTCGCTTCAAAGCCTGTCCTGAAAGGCTCTTAGCCCGGGGCGGAGGGCAGCAAGTCTCAGGGTTCCCCCCCACCCCTCCCTCTAACCCTGCAGGCTGATGACGGGGTGTGGAGGCCGCGGGCTGCTCCTGAGGCTTCTTTCCCTGTCAGGGGAATCACCAAAGCATCGGTAAAGAGAGCTTTAGAGAAAGGCCTGGCCAACCTTCTTATGCATTCCGTGGGAAATCCTGGAGCCATTCACCCTTCAAATCACAGTAACCGTAGAAAAAGGCATCCTGTGGCCCCAGACCGGGAGAAACAGCAGGTCACGGCAAGGCGTCCCCTCCCTCCTTCTGCAGGGGGCCTTCTTCATAGCTCACAGCTGCTTGTTTTAAAAAAAATTATATCAACACTCAGACCGGAGCACCCAGCTCCCAGCTGTTTCTTCACGTGTTTATTGCCCGGGGTGCGGGCAGGTCTCCTTTGAACTGCACCTAGTTTTATCATTTTGACGACCCTCTCCCCCAACACCACCACCTGTGGCTTATTCATTCCTGACCTTGATAAAGAAAGATGGTTCACATGCTTGTCAAAACGGTAGGAAGATGGTATACAGGTCATGGCAGTAGGGGAGAGGGATCCGGCCGAATTCACCAAGGACGGTGCAGGGGATTTATAGCCTAGACGCTGGGGGTCGGGGAAATGGGTGGATGAAAAATTATCAAGAGGAGAGCCAGAGGGGGACCCCTTGCTGAAGGCAGGCAGGGGCCTAGAGGCCAAGTCAGAGGTGGGGGCTGAGGAGCTTGGGCATCTATCAAGGGTTGGGGAGTCCCTGCGCCCCCCGCCAAGACAGCACAGCAGGATTCTCGCTGGACCTGGGTTCGCAGGTTGAAGGCCTTCCCCCAGGGGCCCAGCAGGATGGTTGGATGCTGAGACCCCTCCCCTGCCCCCCAGCGCGGTCACAGCGTCGTTTCTGTCTCGTGACCCTGGAGGCAAGCCGAGCAGGCTGCACAGTGGCCCCCAGATGGGCTGTGGGATGACCTCACCCGGGGACCGTGTGGCACACAGGCCTGCCTTTCTGAGACACGCTCGGGAGCTGACATCAGCCAGGACGGCCTGGTCCCCGTGTCCCCTCTTGTTCTTCAGTCTTAAGAGCTTATCAAAGGGGTCCTTTAGGCCCCTCCCAGCTGTGCCGGGATGTCTTGGTGGGGAGGAGGCCCCCTGCATCCCGAGGCGCCCACCCCCCCACCGCGACAGCGCTTTCGGGACGTGCTAACACCAAACACGCGGCAGCTCGGGACACGAGCTCGCCATCAAGGGGACCCAGTCTCAGGACAAAGATGCTCTTCATGGCTCTGGGCTGAGGCTGGCTCCCCGTTTCTAAAGCCGGACCTGCCCTGACCTTCTGTGGGGTGCCGAAGCCTGTCCCCCCCGCCAGCCTCCCATTCCCCAGTCTGTGGCCTGAGGGTGCAGACCCGGTGGGTGGTTTTCACACCTGCTCCACGGAGCACGGGAGTCACACAGCGAGGCCCCTGCCCCGCAGAGACGCCGTGAGACCCTCTGCCTGCCTCCACTTGCGTGCTGGGGCTCCAGGAGTGTGTTTGATGGGTGAATCCCGAGCAGTAAAAGCTCAGAGGAGCAGGGTCCCGAGCCCTCTGGCCTCCGAGGGAGATGAGGCAGCCCCACCCCCGCCAAACTCCCACCAATTCCAGCCCCGCCGCCCACCCCTGGACGCACCTGCCTGTCTGCAGACTCGGTACACGGGGAAGGAGGCTGGCAGTCACTCATTATCAGAGGTGGCTGTTATGTTAGTCACTCAGTTGTGTCCAGCTCTTTTGCAGCCCCATGGACTGTGGCCCGCCAGGCTCCTCTGTCCATGGGATTCTCCAGGCAAGAATACCGGAGTGGGTTGCCATTTCCTCCTCCAGGGGATCTTCCTGACACAGGGATTGAATTCGAGTCTTCTGGGCAGGTGGATTCTTTACCACTGAGCCACAGGGAAGCCCAATTATCAGGGGTACTCAGATTAAAATAACGATTAGATGCTATTTTCCCCATTGGATCAACAAAGGTTAAAAGGACCAACGCACCCCACTGTTTGGAGAATTGGAGTAGACAGGCCTCTTACCTGGCTGGTGGAGCAAAAATTGTGAAATTGCCAAAATGCCTCAAAGAGCCTTAAAAATGCCCACACTCTCTGAGCCAGGACCCACGTTTAGGAAGCCTTCAAGTCAGTAAGAGAGATGAAGTGGAACTTGTGTTTCATGGAGTTTGCACAACTTTATTTAGAAATAAAACGTCGGAAATAACAGGGAGCAGATAAAGAGATTCCTGTTGATTCTTACGATCAATAGGAATATTATGGAATATATTGGAAAATATATATAGAAAAATAATAGGAATATTATGCAGCCCTTAAAAGTTACACTTTTGATATTTAATTATGTGGAGGAACACTAAGACATCTTAAATCAAAAATCACAGAATACAAAACTGTGTGCTACTGCTGCTGCTGCTGAGTCGCTTCAGTCGTGTCTGACTCTGTGCGACCCCACAGACGGCAGCCCACCAGGCTCCCCCGTCCCTGGGATTTTCCAGGCAAGAACTCTGGAGTGGGTTGCCATTTCCTTCTCCAGTGCATAAAAGTGAAAATTGAAAGTGAAGTTGCTCAGTCGTGTCCGACTCCCGGCGACCCCATGGACCGCAGCCCACCAGGCTCCTCCGTCCATGGGATTCTCCAGGCAAGAGGACTGCAGTGGGGTGCTGTCACCTTCTCCGAAACTGTGTGCCAACATTGTATTTAATGTGCACACACTGGATGACAGCCAGTAGGAGACCACAGATGACTCTCATTTCTTTAAGGTCTTGTTTAAATTTTAATAAGGAGTATCCAGTACCAGGAGTTCCCTGGTGGGTCCAGCGGCTTAGCCTCCTCACTACCAGTGCAGGGGGCACAAGCTCAATCTCTGGCCAGGGAACTAGATCCCACATGCTGCAACTAAGGATCCTCCATGATCCTAAGACTTGCGGCAGCCAGATAAGAAATTTTTTTTTAAAAAAGAACATCTATTACCTTTGTAATCATAAACTATTTTTTTTTTAAAAGAAAAGCTATGCACACACCAATCAAATCCCAGTCTGTCTGGGAACTCCAAGTTGGTGCAGGTGTTGTTCCAGGGAGGGACAGAAATGAGCTCCCTTCCCAAGTGTTAACTCGCATGACCTAGAGGCTTTGCAGGCAGAAACAGGGTGTTGCTCCTTCCTGCCACAGGTTTAAGGCCCCTACGACGTGTCAGGCCCCCTACTGTGTCTACTCTGTGTGGCTTGTTGGGGGGACCTGAGAGGGCATGGACGCAACTCGCATCTCCCAAGGGGGCGTGGGCTGGCCTGGCACTAGTGGGCGGACGCCTTCTACCTGCAGAAGGCTTGTGAGTGGGCTGTGGGTGGGTGGAGGGCGCAAGGGGGTCAGGCTGAGCTTCAGCGAGGCGGGGAGCAGTTATTACCTGAAGTTATTACCCTTGTTTCATTGTATTAAGTTCTCCCAGTGGCCTGCTGAGGTAGGATTATTGTTGGCCCCGTGTGAAGGTGGGAAAAGCCTGAGGTCTAGGAGGTCGAGTTTGCATTAGAGAAGAGCAGGACCCTGGGTGGGGTGGGGGGAGGGTGCTAGTGGTAAAGAACACGCCTGCCAGTGCAGGAGACATAAGAGATACAGCGTTGATCCTTGGGTGGGGAAGGTCCCCTGGAGGAGGGCACCCCACCCCAGTATTCTTGCCTGGAGAATCCCATGGACAGAGGAGCCTGGCGGGCTATGCTCCACAGAGGCAGACACAATGAAGCACCTTAGCATACACGCAGGGCCCTTGCAGCCCTTGGGGACCTGTGACTTTGATGGTGGGGCCATAGGTAGGGAAGCTGGGTGGAGCCGGCATGACGGAGACAGCTCAGACACCCTGGGAATCAGTGAGGGGCTGGGCCCCCAGCCCACAGTCCCACTCTCCAACCCACACCTCAGGTTCCCACCTGAGGGTGGTCCTTCCCGCCTTCCAGCTGAGAGCCCCGCCCCAAAGCCGTCTTCTCCCATCCAGGTCACACCCAGCTCCAGCCTCCACTGGGTCCCCGGCTGGGCCTGGCCACTGCCCACCTCACGGAGAGGAGCCGGTGGAGGCCACAGAGCAACCCCCTTTATCTGTTGCCTGAATTTCTGGCTCTGAATAGAAGCCACACACAGAGCCCTCCTCGAAGCCCTCCTCTGGGTGCTGGGGATCCCAGGGATCCCCTGGGAGCATTGGCTCATGTTGAAGTGCTACCTGTTTATTCCACGTCGCCAGTGGGACTGTGACCCCTAGGCCCTGCGAGCCCCAGACCGAGGAGCAACTTGCACAGAGGAGGGGGTGGGGCCAGTGTGATCAGCACAGAGAAGGGGTGGGGCCAGTGTGATCAGCACAGAGAAGGGGTGGGGCCAGCGTGATCAGCNCAGAGCAACCCCCTTTATCTGTTGCCTGAATTTCTGGCTCTGAATAGAAGCCACACACAGAGCCCTCCTCGAAGCCCTCCTCTGGGTGCTGGGGATCCCAGGGATCCCCTGGGAGCATTGGCTCATGTTGAAGTGCTACCTGTTTATTCCACGTCGCCAGTGGGACTGTGACCCCTAGGCCCTGCGAGCCCCAGACCGAGGAGCAACTTGCACAGAGGAGGGGGTGGGGCCAGTGTGATCAGCACAGAGGAGAGGGTGGGGCCCAGTGTGACCAGCACAGAGGAGAGGGTGGGGCACAGTGACCATCACAGAGCAGGGGGTGGGGCCCCAGTGTGGACACTGACCCCCTCCTCCTGACCTCCTGCACTGTCCTACATCTAGGAAGGAAGGGATGTTGGTCAGTCATGTCCGACTCTTTGCAGCCCCATGGGCCTACCACGCTCCTCCGTCCATGGGATTTCATCTGGGAATCCACACTAACTCTTCCTCTCGGTGATCTGTCTGCAGGCTCCTCCATTTGGCACCCAGCCTGTCGACAAGCAGCCAGAACTGAAGACAAAAACAAGGTTGGTGGAATTCTCCCTATGCCCTTTTCCCAGCCTCTGAGCGACATCACACAGTTAAGGGGGTGCTGACTTGCCTGCAGGCTCAGTGGTCAGTCCCAGCAGGCCGTGGGGCAGGTGGCCCGAGGCCCATGAGTGTCCAGGTGGAAAGAACAGGTCAGCTGCTGGCCAGCCCGGGGGATCCCTGCCCTGGCCCTCCTTCGTATGGTGGATGCCTATGGCTGTGCAAGTTCAGGGACCACTGAAAAGGTAGCAGATATCTGAGAGTCCCCAAGAATGTCCATGCTTCTGATGCCAACAGCTGCTTTGCAGGGTCTCCCCAACTGCCCTCAGTTTCGATAACAAGTTAGAAGGACTCAGTACAAAGTGTCACAGCCCGTTTACAGTTTATCCCAGGGAGGATGGCTGGACTCAGCCCAGCGTGAGGCAGGATCCAGGAGGAGGCCTGGACCCAGGCTGCCACCATCCTCTCCTGTTGGAGTCTGGATTCCCCACCTCACAGCGCCAGCACACACGAGGCGTTGCCAACCAGGGAAGCCCCGTGGCCGGAGATCTTATCGGGACTCTGTTAGTCAATGGACTGGTCTATTGATTCATTGCCATGTGGTTGCTTTCACTCTCCCGGTGACATCACCCAGGACCACCAGCATCTCAGGGCTGGTCTTTCTGGTGTGACCCGCCCCACCCTGAGACATTGGGGGTGTGGTGAGCACCCTCCCCCCAAACAGAGAGCTCTTACCAGGTATGACACTGATCACCTTCTGGAAGCAAAGCAGGACCCCTGTGTAGGCCAGGCCAGCCCTTCCTCTGGGCCAGGTGAGCCTTCATCCCGCAGAGGCCCTGCTGGGGCGCCCAGCCAGGGGTGCCACGTGAGGGAGGGGGCCGGCCCGCCTCGGGGCCCTTCTGGGCTGGTGTCCCTGAGAGAGACAGAAATCAGTGCCTCAACAAACAAGTGATGCAATGGGCTGGTGGGGCCAGAGAGCAGGGGAAGGACCAGCTTTCCCGGGGATGGTGGCGGGGGGACACGGAGGGGTCCTCCAGAGAGTCAAGCAGGAGTGGAGCCTGGGAGAGAAGATAGAGCCAGCTCTGAAGAGGGGTGGGGGCCCCGGGCAGGGCTGGGGGCTCAGGCAGAGGCCCTGGGGCAGAGCGGGCCAGCTCCCTTTGGCTGGGGCGGTCAGCAGGGCAGGGGTCCTCCGCCCGCATCTGCAGAAATACGTTCCTCCCACCGGGGCCGCCCTCTCGTGCCTGACATCCGGCCTCCCAGCAAACTCCTGTGGGCTCTCAGATTTGCCTAGAATGTCATCCCCTGAAACCTCGCAGATGCCTCCGCTCACACCCTCTTCCCCTGGAGCCTCTTCTCCAGGCCCCAGGCTCCTCCATCCTGAACCCCCTGGCCCCGAGCCGAGCCCTGGCAGATGACAGAGAAGTGTTTGCAGGATGAAGGGAGGAAGCGAATCCGGGTGAACTGCAGCCCTGGGGCCCCCCAGGCCCCTCGAGGGGAGGCATGGCAGCCAGCTTTGCTCTATCAGGGACCACCCGCACCCCTGCATGAGCCCCTCTGGGATCCACACCCTGCAGACCCCAGGAGCAAGTGCACATGCCCCCACACTCTGGGGGGGGGCGAGTGGTGTGTGACCCACAGAACTCCTGGCCTCATCCCAGCGACCCCCGGCCTCCCATGCACCCCCCATGCAGGGCGCCCAGGCCTCGCCAAGACTTTGAAAGTCGCTAAACAGGCTATGGGAGAGCCACTGGGCAGATGAGCACTTGAAGACCCTGGTGACTCAAATGCCCTATAGCGGCGGCGGTCTGCATCCAGATGGAGAAACGACAGCCGGGGGACCGCAGGGTGGCTGACACGCCTGCGGGAAATCAAGCGGGGTGTGCGGAGTCACTCTGGGATTCCCACAAGAGCTGGGACCCAGGCCTCTCAGACTCAAGGCCGCGGGACGCCCAGGATTCCTTCTGGGGGAGCTCAGGGCTTATGGGGGGCGGGGAGGGACTGAGGGGAGCGGAGGCTGGAGAGTGAGGCAGGGCCCCAGGATGAGCTTGCGAGGCAGACTGCTCTGGAGGGGGGTCTCAGGGGCCCCCTGAGGGTCTCTGGCACCTGTGTGTGTCAGAAGGGGACCACTGCTCAGAGGAACTCTGGCCCCGAAGGATGGGGCAGAGCTGTGCTGTTGGGGGCACTCTGCTGTTTGCTGGAAACGCTGGTCCTGCTCGCTGGGTTCTTTAGTGACACTCCCACCGTGGGAGCGAGGGGGTCCAGGCCTGCAGAGCCCCCCGCCCTCAGCCATGGGGAGTGGCTGGGGCCCGAGCGGAAACCGTCCCCAGACCCAGCAGATGTGGTGGTGCCCAGGGCTGGGAATTTGCGGCGGAGGGGCAGGTTCGGAGATGCACCCTCATGAACGTTGCCCTGGGAGACGGGACAGGTCGCGGGCTGGTGGAGGGACCCTCCTCCTCGTGTGGGCTCCTCGGGGAGGGTGGGACCCAGAAATTCAGCAGATGCTTGCCAAGCCCGTTCTGAAAGAAGTCAGCGGAGGGAAAGTCTCTCTTTACCTCTAGCGGTTGATCTCAGTGGGTTTGGAAGCCTCTGCTTTCCATGGGTCCACCACTTTATGATTCATTCATTCAGCACAGTTTCAGTGAGGGTCTGGCTATGCCAAGGCAGGTTCTCGGCCTGGGGCACCGAGGTGATGTCACGAGTCCTGGCCCAAAGCTGCTGCTGATTAGAGGATGGAAGCAGGACCTGTGGACTTACCTGCAGGTCTCGTCCAAGGGCCGTGGGGACCATCCCACTATACCCGGCCTGGTGTGAGGACCTGGCGAAAGGTGACTGTGGGCCAGGGCGGGAGGGCTCCATGGAGGGGACCGAGTGCCCAGGGTCCTCTGTGCCCTGCGCCTCCCCCGGCAAGGTCAGGGCGACCAGTGCCAGCCCCGGATGCTGGACCCACTGTTGAGCTGGCCTCAGGGCCTGCAGGGCCCAGCTCAGGCCTGGAGGCAGCAGGCACGTCTGCTCTCTGCCTGGAGCCCCGCCCTGGATGACCACGGGCCACTGGCCCAGCAGGAAGGAGTCCTTCTGGGTGCTGTAGGCTGGCAGGACAGGGCAGAAAGAAGGACCATTGTCTTGGGGTCTGGTCACGACCCAGAGTTGGCTTCCGGGGCTCGTCTCCACAGATGCTTCGGGAACATTGAGGGCAGAGGCCGGCAGCCTGGGACAGCTGTCCCTTGCGTCCGGCGACAGGATCCAGGCCCTGGTCATGCCCTGCGTGTCCCTTGGTTCACCCTCCCCACCCCTTCCCCTCAGAGCCTCTTCTGTCTCGCCTGAGAAATGAGAATAAACCCTGGGCAGGCCAGGCAACAAATGGACAGGGCAGTGGGTGGAAGGGGCAGTCGGTGTGCAGGGCAGTGAGTGGGAAGTGAATGGGCAGAGCAGCAGGTGGACAGGGCAGTCAGTGGGCAGAGCAACAGGTGGACAGGGTGGTGGGTGGGCAGGGCAGTCAGTGGACAGGGCAGTGAGTGGGCAGTGAGTGGGCAGAGCAGCAGGTGGACTGGGTGGTGGGTGGGCAGGGCAGTCAGTGGGCAGAGCGGTCAGTGGGTAGGGTAGCAGGTGGACAGGGTGGGCACAGATGACTTTCCCGGGAAATCGGGCCCCGTGGAGACAGGTCTCCCAGCCAGCTGACCGCCCCTGGCCTGCGCAGCGGGAGAGAGCCGTGTTTTTCTGTAGTGTGCGTTGAGTGGGAGCCAGCTAATGAGCGTGAACCTGCCGGACCTGGTCAGCTCTGGGTCAGCCTGGCGGGGTCGGCTGGGCAGCCGTCAGCCCCAGGGATACCACAGAGGTGGCGTCACTTTCTCTGAGTCTGGCCTCCGGGCGGAGGTGGCTCCGCTGTAACCTGGCAACCCAGATGAGAGCTAAGTTGCCCATCTGGAGGGGTGCTCAGCAGTCAGCTAACTAGGCATGCCAGGCCCAGTGGACTCCAGGACCCCCCTCCGGCTCCAGAGGCCAGCTCGGGGCTCCCTGTGAGCGCTCCGGGAGAGGGAAAGCAGCCCTTTCACTCCTGGAAGATCCCTGACTGTGTGCCCCCCCGGGGAGGGGTGCCCCCCAGGACAAGGATGCGCATCCACCGAAGGTGCCCGGGGGGAGACCCGTTGGAAGGCTGTGGTCCTAACGGCCCGTCTCCAGTGTCTCATTGGGTGTCGGATCGAACCGTCGTTCAACACACGTTCACCAAGCACCTGCTGTGCCTTGTAGGCTGGGCGCCGGGAATGCAGAGGTGAACGAAGCTGGCGGGTCCCTGGCCCTACAGCATCTGGTGGCGGGGAGACGGATGGGCCGGCTCCAGGGTGCAGGATGCTTGCCTGTGAGCGGGGAGGGGCGGGGCCAGCTGCATGGGCCTGGAGGGCAGGATTGGGGGAGACGCCGGCTTCCTGGAGCCAGGACTTGGCAGGTGTGCGGAAGGGTGGGTAACAGGGGCCGGCCCTGCTCTGGGGGTGGGGCCCCAGTCTGAGGAGCCGTGAACAGGTGGGGATTGAAGGAGGGTTTCAGAGCCGTGGGAAGAGGCGGCCCGGTGTCTGCTGAGTATCTGGAGAGGCCTCGGTGCGTGGAGAAGGTGGCTGGGGCAGGGCCAGCCTGGTGGCTCCTGCTCCGGTGGGACCAGAAGGAGCCTGGACGGGAGGGCTGGTCCCCTCCAGGCTGCGGCTGTCCATGGTCACGCCTACCCTGGGGGCGCACGCAGGTCCTGGCTGCTTACTGCGGGGTGGGCAGGAACCCAGAGGAGGAAGCCAGAGCCCCTGCACTGACCGTGGGGCCTCCGAGCAGAGAGAAGCCAGCCTTGATGAGGCTGCCCCGGAGGCCTGAACACAAGGACGGGGAGACTGACCCTGGGCGAGGATGTTCCAGCGGAATTCGCAGCGGCTGCCGGGGTGGGAGAGCCTGAGCTGCCGTCAGAGCCCCTGTGACCCTGGGCAAACCACCAGCCTTCTCGGAGCCTCAGCCGCTCGGCTTTAACGTGGAGACGAGCTGGCGCTGACCTCTCTCTGTATGTCCACGGAGCCTGTATGAGACCTTAATGAGAGCCAGGCGCCCCCCGACCCTGTTGTGGGGCAGTGCTTCCTGGGGCCTGGCTGGGTGGACGGGGCTGGATGACTGCCCGGCCTTGGGCGGGTGTGAACAGCACCCCGGAGAACGCAGCTGGGTGCTGGGTTTGACTGTGAGGCTCCTTTGGGCCAGTTGGAGGCAGGGTAGAGAGGAGGTGAGAGAAAGCCCAGGTCTCCTGATTCTGGGGGGGAACTGCCTGGACTCAGCCCCCTTCTGTCTGGGTTCCCGGACCCAGGGGACATCGCGGTGGGGTGGGGGGGGTGCTGCTCTTCTCCCCGCCCCCCATTTCTCCTGGGCTGGGAACTGGGTCATGGCGGGGACTCCGTGTAGCTGCCCAGCTGCTCGGGACCCTAAAACGTGCAGGAGAAAGCCGGACCCCCCTGCTGCCATGCCAACAGCCCGGGCCCCCTTCCGCCGGGGTCATGGTGTCAGTAACCCCGGTGCCACCCTGACAACGCCAGGAAACATCCCTCGGGGCTTGGGGTCCGTTCTTGTGGCTCTGCCGTTGCTCTCAGCTTTGGGGCACTTTCTTCTGAAACACCCAGCATTAGTCGGCTTTGTGAAGAAGGGACTTCCTGTCATGAGCCGGAATCAGCTGAACTGAGATAAAAGCAAGAGTGATTCACCAGAGCCAAGCCCTTAGCAGGCTGCGCCTCTGAGTCCTCAGCAACGGAAAGAGCCTTCCAGGCAGGTTTTTCCATTTCACAGAGGAGGAAGCTGAGAGTCTAAGGTTTTTTTCAGCTGTGCCAAACATATGCACACAGCATTTTTGCCTAGCCAAACAGGCAGCCTGGCCACCGGAACAGCGGTATAACACAGACCCTGTGTTTCCTGCCTCCCACGATGCGTCTCCCTTGAAACAGCAGCTCGTAATGTGTGTCTTCCTGGGGGTGGCCAAGCCTCAGGGGTCAGGCTGAGCTTCTCGAGGGACCCCAGCCCCTTGCCAGCCTCTGCGAGCCTGTGGTCTGAGGGGACAGGCAGACCCCTGAGTCGATGCCCAATCCCGTGTGTGCAGCCGGGCCGTGGGGCCTCAGAGAGGATGCCAGGGTGATACCCGTGGAAAGGAGGCGGGCTGGACTGGCTGACGAGTGACCGAGCGCGGCGGTGACGACGGAGCTTCATGCCCTGTCCTTCTCTTTCCTTTCTAGATGCAGAACCAGGTTTCCCATCAGGTTTACCCAGGCGCCACCCCCTATGCCTTTCAGGTTTGTCCCTGCCGCCACCGTGTCGGGCTCGCGTTTGGTCCTGGTCTCGTCCCATCCCCGCTGGTGTCGTGCTGAGTGTAGGAGGAGCTGTGGGTCATCCCCCTGGAGGGGAGGAGGGGGAGCTCCACGACAGGCGTTTTTGTTGTTGTTCAGTCGTGTCCGACTCTGACCCCGTGGACTGCAGCACGCCAGGCTTCCCTGTCTTCCCCTAGTACCCGGAGCTTGCTCAAACTCATGTCCATTGAGTCGGTGATGCCGCCCAACCATGCCATCCTCTGTCGTCCCCTTCTCCTCCTGCCTTCAATCTTTCCCAGCATCAGGGTCTTTTCTAATGAGTCAGTTCTTCGCATCAGGTGGCCAAAGTATCGGAATTTCAGCTTCAGCATCAGTCCTTCCAATGAATATTCAGGACTGATTTCCTTTAGGATGTACTTGCCGTCCAAGGGACTCTCAAGTCTTCTCCAGGTGTTAGCCACACCAAACGTGCTTAAGCAACGGAACTCTCTCTCAGCTCTGGAGGCTGAAGCTCCAGGGTCCGCCGGCAGACTTGGCTCCCCATGAGGCTTCTCCTCTGGGCGTGTGCACGGCCGTCTCCTCCCTGTGTCCTCACAAGTCATCTGTCTGTGCCTGTCTGTGTCCTAGTCTCTTCTCATAAGGAAGACAGTCAGATCCAGGCCTGTCCTGAAGTCTCCATTTAAGCTTAATTACCTCTTCAAACATCCTACCTCCTAACACCTTCTGGGGTCCTGGGGTGTGGGCTTCAACCTGTGAGCTTTGGAGGGGAGCGGTTCAGTTCATGATACAGCCCCTCCCAGGCTCCTGGCAGGAGGTGTGGACCACTGGGAGCGGCTGGACAGAATTTCAGGGGTTGGGGGGGAAGGGGCCTGCTCAGAAAACGAGAGAGGAGTTGGGCCTCCCTGGCAGTCGTATGGTTAGGACTCCTCACTCGCACTGCAGAGGCATGCAAACCCTGTGGTCTGGCCAAATTAAAAAAAAGGGGGGAGAAGCCATGAGCCGGGGGGCGGGGAAAGCAGGAGCCCCTTCGTGGAGATGGGTTTCATTCGGATGAGGCGAGTGAGAGGCCTAGAAAGTTGGGTGGGTGGGTGGTCCCAGCCAGGGAGAGGGCGGGACCAGGAGAGGGTCCAGGAGCTGCCAGGTCACACCCGGCAGGCGGGGATGGAGACAGGTGCAGAGAGCCGGGCGGGAGCTGGAGAGAACCAGGGTCCTCACGGTGATGGAGGACCTGACCCAGATCTGCTTCAGCCTCTCCCTGTTTCCTTGTCTCCTAGGAAACCAGGACGTCCTCAGAGAGCATCATTTCGGTACCTGCTTCCAGCACCTCAGGGTCTCCGAGTCGCGTGATTTATGTAAGTCGGATTCCCTCTATGGAGAGGGGAGGAGACCAGGGGCCCGGGGTCCTTGCTGAGTGTGCCCTCCGGGGGCGCAGGGTCGCGGGAGAGATTGGCACAGACCCTGAGGCTGACTCGGAGCCTCCAGCGTGGATGTATTGTGTGACCACGGCTGCCCTGGAATGTGGCATCCAGTGCACAGAGAGATGTACTCATGGCCGTGGTTTACGGCGGTGTTGGTGAGAACATGCCTGCATCCCGCAGCCGGGACTCACCTGGATAAACCGCACTCACCAGTAACAGTGCAAATCTGTGCCTGTTGGTGTGGGAAGTTCCTGATGTGCATGTGAAGGATGACGTGTGTTAGTTACGTGATCCTACTTTCATTTATGTGTATGTGTATTCGTGTGCACGTAGGTATACATGTGTGTATTGTGTGTGTTTGAGTGTGTGCATGTATGTAGGCATGTGTGTATGCATATGTATGGATGAGTATGTGTGTGCATGTATCTACATGTGTGCGTGCAGGTGTGTGCAGGTATGTATATTGTGTATGGAGTTGTGTGTGTGTGTGCACATACATGTTTCAACATGATTGAGAACATTTTAACTAATTGTTGATAGCAGTTACCTCTGGACGTGGCTTTAGAAATGGAAGGTGACTGTTATAATTACTTGCTAGTTTGCTGGTCTAGCTAGTCCCCTGTGCTGCGGTGGGGAACAGGCAAGCGGGGTGAGCCCTGGACTGGGCGTCTCGGCCCAGCTTCACCCCTGCAGGCTGGTTGGCCAGGACGAGTCTCCTCTCCCATTTCCCCCCAACTCACGGCTGGAGCCTGGTTTTTCTCTAAGGATGATGGAGGTTGGATTCCCTCCTCTCGACACTTCTCCCATCCAAGTACTAACCAGGCCCGACCCTGCTTAGCTTCCGAGATCAGACGAAATCGACACTTCGTTTTAGCCCCCAGAACTCTCTCTGGTTGGACACAGGGCCATTCCTGCCCTAATTCTGATGGATGATAAGAACCTGGGTTCTAGTCTGGAGGGCGAGTGGCCGGATGACCCTGGGCAGCTGCAGACTTGGAGGTTCAGAAAGACAGCCTGACGTCACCAGGCCAGCTGTGTGCCCTCGGGCAAGGCATTAGTCTCTTTGAACCTCTGGGAGCTCACGCATACCTGGGGGCCCACAGCATCTGCTGCCCAGGGCCACGGAGGTCCTGAGTGAGAGGCCCCGGGCACAGCCCTGAGCCCAGAGTGGGGGCCCAGGAAGTGCTCACTGGAGTCACTGTTGTGACATCAGTGATCGCCTTTGGGGGCCGCCGTACCAAGTGCCCTGACCAGGGGCCTCAACCACAGAGACGTACCTTCCCACTGTCCCGGAGCCTGGGAGTCTGAGTCACGGTGTCGGGAGGGTCAGTTCCCTGCAAAGCCCGTCTCCTGGGCGTGTGGACGGCCGTCTTCTCCGCGTGTCCTCAAGCTGGTTGTCCCTCTGTGCACGTCTGTGTCCTGACCTCCTCGTCACAGGAGGACCCCCGGATGCTGGCTCAGGGCCCCCCACCCTGCTGACCTCGGTTCACCTTAATCATCCCTTTAAAGGTCACTATCACCAAATACAGATTCTGTAGTGCTGGGGGTTAGCGATTCAATGAAAAAAGGAGGGGGACACGATCCACCCCAAATGGCATCATCATCAGGACCGGTAATAGTGACTGTTACTGTTTGAATGAGAGCATGTCTGTGGCACAGAGTGTGGTCCTGTCCACAGATGGCAGCTGCTGTTGGTAACTGCTCCTTGCTGTCCTCAGTCACTTCAGTCACTCATGTCCGACTCTTTGTGACCCCATGAACTGCAGCACGCCAGGCCTCCCTGTCCATCACCATCTCCAGGAGCTTGCTCAAAGTCATGTCCATTGAGTCGGTGATGCCATCCAACCAGCTCATCCTCTGTCACCCCCTTCTCCTCCTGCCTTCAGTCTTTCCCAGCATCAGAGTCTTTTCCAGTGACTCAGTTCTTTGCATCAGGTGGCCAAAGCATTGGAGCTTCAGCATCAGTCCTTCTAATGAATATTCAGGACTGATTTCCTTTAGGATGGACTGGTTAGCCATGATTATGTTTTGAACAAGTTGGTGTTTGTAAGGGGTTCAAGTACAGTGCTGACCATACAGCAGTGCAGTCAGCAAGGACGTTGGTCTCCGAAGTCCCTGTTACTTTATAAAGATCTCGCAGTGGTAAGCAGTAGAGCTGGCTTTGAGACCGGGTCTTCTGACCCCAAAGCTTGGGTTCTGCTCAGGGAAGCCAGTTGCTCAGGGCTGAAAGCCAGCCCTGCTGGGTCCCTCCTTCACCAGGCTGTTTTCAGCACAGCCACGGCCACGTCCTCCAGGCCAGGTCCCCTGATGTCCCCACCCTTGGGGAATAGGAGTTTGCCGAGGGTGATGGTGATGGGCCAAGAAGGTCCCCACCAGCTGGGTGTGCCTTCAGCCGAAGTGGGTTCTGCCTGGGCACACCGTCCCAGCTGATACAGGCTTCTTGCTTGGCTAATACCCCTGCACCAGTTTTAAACAGATGGCCTAGAGAGGATTCATTGACCCCGCCCCCCCACCAGACTCCTGAGTCTGAAACACCTGCTCTCAGCTGACACAGCTGAGATGCCTTGAGGACTGGGTACCAAGGCCCACATCTACTGCCTTCCCTAGCTCTCAGCATCCCACTTCTCAGATGCAGCTCAGAGAAGGGCAGAAGCTGGTCTGTATCCCAGCCTCTGAGTCAGGGAGCCGCCATCCAAGGACACACGGCTGCTTCCAGCACGTGGACTCGCAGCACCGTGGCCGGCGCCCAGCCTGGACCCCCCCAACCCCCCTGCCGTCCCTCCCAGTCAGGGCTGGTGTCAGCTCCGGTCAGCAGCGCGTCCCTGCGGTTCCTTCACCAAGGAGACAGGAGTCCGGTCAGGCACGCCTTCTCAGGCTCACTCCTGTTGTCTTCCTGCTCCCGCTGGTATCTGCTATCATCCTCCTGTGCTCCTGACTTGGCTCGGTGCTGGGCACGCTCAGGACCTCAGGACCGGGGCCCCAATCCATGCGCCAGGTCAGTGAGCTGAAAAGGATGCTGACCACCCCATCCGGCAGCACCTGCTGTAGTGTGGCTGTCATCAAACGCAGCCTCCCCGCACTCCTCCTTCCCCCATTCAGGAAGAGATCGCTGCCCCCGTGAGGCCCCCGTGTGCAGGAATGGGGCAGAATTCATCGTGTGCTGTGGCTAACCTCTTCCCCTTGGGCTGTGAGTGCCTGGCGGGCAGGGATCGTGCCTCATTCATCTTAGCATATATACAGGATAAGACATGGGCACAGTGTGTGGGTTAGTCGCTCAGTCGTGTCCAACTCTTTGTGACCCTGTGGACTGTAGCCCGCCAGGCTCCTCTGTCCATGAGATTCTCCAGGCCAGAATACTGGAGTGGGTTGCCATTCCCTTCTCCAGGGGATCTTCCCAACCCAGGGATTGAACCCAGGTCACCTGCATTGCAAGCAGATTCTTTACCATCTGAACCACTAGGGAAGCTCAATAAATTGTGGGTTTTTAAAAAGTAATCTTTTCACTGCCTTTTTCTTATTACAAAGGTAACCCACATTTTTTAAGAAAAAATAGTGATTGGTATAGAGACAAAAATGAATACCATTTATAATCCTCCCAGCCAGAGTAGCCCACTGTTAATATATTGAAGTACACCCTTTCGGTCTCTTTTTCTCCGTGTGCATGTATTTTCTTTCTTTCTTTTTAACAAAATGAAGTCACATGGGCTATATTGTTTTGTAAGCTTTCTTCACCATGGCAATAAAGCAGTGAGTTGGGATAGTGTATCATTAGATAGTTTTATCGGTAGGATTATATTACAGCTATAACATCATATATGGTCACATCCTAGTGGCTTCCCACATGGCGTTAGTGGTAAAGAATCCATCTGCCAATTCAGGAGACGTAAGAGATATGGGTTTGATCTCTGGATCAGGAAGATCCCCCCTGGAGGAGGGCATGGCAACCCAGTCCAGTATTCTCGCCTGGAGAGTCCCATGGACAGAGGAGCCTGGTGGGCTGCAGTCCACAGGGTCGCAGAGAGTTGGACACGACTCAGCACACACACATGCTGGATACAGTGTAGGGAGAAGAAAGCTGAGCGGAAACAGTCGCAGACGCACACACCCCAGTGGCCTTCCGCCAATGGGAGGGCCTAGCCCGTTGTCACAGCGACCCCCCAGGACCTGGGTGCCAGGAAGTGGATCTGTGAGCCCTGCTGGGTGGTGTGGATGTGAGGAGCCAGGAGCCTGGTCCCCTAGCCACCTGGCTGGGGGTTGAGGGGTTGGGGGCCTCTGTCTGAGCTGGCTCATGTTGATGTAGTTGGCATTGTCAGGATTTCTAATTCCTGCCGTCAGAGGCTGACCCAGGGCAAGGTGGGCCTTGCTGACCACGCGTTTGGGGCAGAACAAGCCAGCGGACAGTTGATTGTTGTGATCATAGCAGGACAGAGGGGGCAGGGTGGGTGGGCACAGCCTCCCCCAGCCCCATGGCAGCATGGCCCTTTAGGTCAGGCCACGTGAATGTTCAGAAATCCAGCAGATGGCGAGGCCCAGGTGGCATTCCCATTTTCAGGGGGAGACCAAGGCCCAGAGAATCCGCCTGGCTTTGGCAAATGCATGATCGATTTTAGTTCAGTGCGGCTTGCTTGCCCTGAGGACCGTGTCATGTCCATCGTGGAGTTAGGGGGAGGGCCTCCATCGTTAAGCAGAGTCCTGGACCCACAGCCACTAGCCTTGCGGGGAGAGGACACTGATGCACCAACAAAGATCAGCACCTTTACTCAAAAGAGGAAAACATCCAACCCAGATGGCAGAGAGAAAGCAGGAAAGGCTTCCTGGAGGAGGAGGCCTCTGCTGACTCTGGAAGGACCAGAGGATGAGCCGGGCAAAGAGGTCTGGGGAGGGCATCTTGGAGGGTGGAATCTACATGGGCTGAGCCCTCAGACTCTGGACATGGGGAAATGGTAAGGAGTTGGGTGTGGCTAGTTTCCTGGGCTGGGGGGTGAGGGGCTCTGATGAGCAGATACACAAGGGCTAGACCTCCAGGGGCCTGAGTTCCATTTCCCCAGAACACAGAAAGGAGTAGTTCAAAAGTGCTGATCAGGGGTCATCATCACGACAAATGGCACACTCAGGGTTTGAACTCAGGTCTTCCGAGTGGTGCCCAGGGCTCCGAAGGGACTCGCCAGAGACTGAGACATCAGGTGTTCACTCTCTCAGCCTACGCCATAAACGGCACGTGGTACCCAATGCCTCCTAGGAGCCTAGGAGTTGGGTGGTCAGGGAAGGCTTCCTGGAGGAGGTGGACTAGAGCTGCCAGACCTCGGAGAAAGCGGGAAAGCTGGAGCGTGGGGGCTGAGCCTGGCTCACCGAGGGCACGAAGAGGAGAGACCGTACAGCGAACAGACTGCAGACATCCGGCTCCAAACATCAAGTCTGGAGACCACAGTGAGGGCTGTGTCACCTGTCCGTGGAGGGGGCTGCCGGAGGATGTGAGCTGGAGGGTGAAGAGGGGGCAGCTGGAGCTCGAGAGACGTGGCCCTGGCGGAGAGGAGAGCCGGCTCTGCACGCAGACAACCTGCTTCTGTTCCCCGGCTGTGGGACTCCAGGCTCTGCTGCTTCCCTGTGAAGTGGAGGTCCTGTGTGGGCCCCGCTTGGTGGGCTTGGCCCACTGCCGTCTGGAGTGGAGCGCAGAGCTCACGGTGCTGATGGAGTTTGTTGGAAGAATTGCTGGCAGGACACCCCTCCCCACTCACCCCCCCGATACCCGGAGGCAGAGGTCAGATCTGGGCTCGGGCCGTGAGGACCTTGACCAGAGCTGCCTGGGGCTGGGAGGGGGTGCAGAGAGGTGGGAAGGGGCTGTGTTGGCTGGACCGGGGGTTCCCCAGGGAGGCTGAGGTCGAGATGAGGGCTCTCGAGAGGTTTGGGGGGTCAAGCTGAGCTAATGGGGGCAGCCCGACTGGCCAGCTCTGCCCACGACTGGCAAGGCCAGGCTGAGACTAACCCTCAGAGGGGACACGGGGGAAAGGAGGTGACTGGAGTGTCTGCTCCAGGAGGGACAGCAGCCTGGGCGTCCACTCCGCTGGGAACCAGGCAGTGCTGGGAGCGGGCTGGGGCCGCACGTCCCTTCTTCGGTGGGGATCGCAAGCTGTAAACGTTCCATCCGCACTTGGGGGGTGTGTCACAGGAACACCGGGGCTGAGACCGGGGTTTGAGCGTGGATCTCAGCCCTACTGTGAGAGCCAAGTCTTGTGGTGCTCAGCTCCCGCGCCTGTCTGGTCACGCGCCCCAAGGTGGCCCCCAGAGCCGGGAGGAGGGGCTGGTGGGCAGTGTGGGGAGGCTGAGCCCAGTTACAGGACAGCGGGCCGCCAGGTGGACCTCACCTGAGCAGATGCGGCGTTTGCAGTGCTCACTCATCACCACGAGTGAGCGCCTCTGTGATGACCTCCTGAGGTCACACGCCAGCTGCCTGTCCCCTGGCTCATGTCAGGCCGTTGGCTGTGTGTAGGGAGTGCTCCAAAGCCCTGGGCGTGTGTATGAGTTGGCTGCGTGTGGAGGTGTGTTCACGAGTGCTGGTTTGGGTGGGTGCGAGCGTGTGTGTGAGTGTGTGGGTGCCTCCAGGTTGTGCTGGTGAGTGTGAGTGGGTGGAGTTGTGGGTGTGTCAGGGTCTCCCTCCACAGCTGTAGGCAGGCACATTCCCTGTGTGCACATGTGTGTTATGTGTGCAGGCCTACATGTGTGTGCTGGGCGTTTGCATCTGTACATACATGTGTGCACACATCGAGCAGGTATTTAAATGCATGTGTGTATGTCCTTTATGGATGTGTGTATTTTGTGTGAGCACATGTGTATTTGTGTTTGGATGCATGCAAGTCTATTATGTGCAGGTGTTTGTGAGTATGCGTCCATGTGTGTGTTTGTATGCATGTGTACATGTTCGCTGGTAGCTCAGCTGGTAAAGAATCCATCTGCAATACAGGAGACCCCGGTTCGATTCCTGAGTCGGGAAGATCCCCTGGAGAAGGGAAAGGCTACCCACTCCAGTACTCTGGCCTGGAGAATCCCATGGACTGTATAGTCCACGGGGTTGCAAAGAGCTGGACATGACTGAGTGATATGTTTTCTGTGCCTACATGGACATTATGTGTGTATGTGTATATCTGTGTTTGTTTGCATCCAAGTCTGTGTTTGTATGCATGCATGTATGTGTGTATATGTGTGTTTTCTGTGCCCTCACATGAGTATTTGTTTGTGCACATGTGTGTCTGTGTGTATGCAGGCATAGCTGAGTGAGTGTGTATTTAGACTGCAGATGGAGTTCTCACTGTCTGGAGGAGCAGGAGGCTTCCCCACCCCCCTGTCTTTGCCCCTCCGCTCGTTTCACTCAGACTCCCCTCCTCCCACGCCTGCCGGGCAACGCGGCCCCCGGGTATGGGTCTGACCAGCCCTCGTGGCCCCTTCCGTCCCTCTCTCAGGCCAAGCTGGGCGATGAGATCCTGGACTACAGAGACCTGGCCGCTCTCCCTAAGAGCAAGGCCATCTACAACATCGACCGCCCCGACATGATCTCCTACTCGCCCTACATCAGCCACTCGGTGGGGGACCGGCAGAGCTACAGCGAGGTACGGGGCCCGCGCAGCGGGTCGCCTTGGCGGCCTCAGCCTCCCCTGCCCCCTCAGACAACCCGCGCCTCCTCTTCAGAGAGCCCCAGAGTGCTCTGGCCCCAAACCGCCTCAGGAGTCTGGACGGGGAGCCCCCTTGGAGTGGGGGGCGGGGAGCAGGAAGCTCGAGGGTGATCATGAAAGCGACAGGGGCAGAGCGAGCGCCTCTTCCTTGTCCTCAGCTGGGCTGATGCTCATCCCCGGGGAATGGACCGTGTTCCTTTGTCCAGCCCGCTCCTGGCCCCGCTCCCTGCTCACGTGCTTCCCCGCCCCGTGAGCCCCTCGAGCTGGTCTGACCCCTGGTTGGACTGCAGATGACGCCTCCCTTCTGTCCCTCGGGTGGTGGCCTTCTCGGGGCCTCCCTGCTCACGGCGGCACCTCTCCATTTAACCTGGAACTTGCTGGGTTTGGCTTTTCCTTTTTGAGACTCGGGTGTGACCCTGGGGACGGGGCTGGAGGGGAGGAGTGTTTTGTCAGTTGCTGGCCGTGTCCATGGGCCAGTCACATGTGGTGGTGGCCCGGGCGGCCCCTTGGGGGGCAGAGCTCTGCCCTGGCCGTAACTGAGTCCCCCGAGGTGTGGCCGAGGCTCTGGGGTCTCCATGTTCGATGGGGGTCATGCGGGCAAGCTCAGCTTGGCAGGCGCTGCTGCGGGATACAAGGGCGGGGCGGGGTCCCCCGGGGGTACACTCAGCCGGTCACGTCGCAGCGACTGGCCAGGGCCACCCCTGCCGTGGTCACTGCGGTCACAGTCAGCATGCATGCTCAGACCCACTCTCACTCTGCCCTGACACCGGGCTTGGCACTCCCCACCTCCCATGGCCCAGAGCTCTGGGAATGCCCCCCACCCCCGCGCAGGACGAGGATGAAACGAGGAGACTGGGGGGGACATGCTGGCCCCAGGACCATGGGGCTCACAGGGCAAAGCTGGGGCATGGGCCTGGGTGGCCGACTCTGGTCACTGCTGCCTCCGTGCCGGCTTCTACCATGTCGCAGAGCGAGGTGTTGGGTCACGTCCCTTCTCCGTCTCTGGGGACCTCGAGGGCTAGCATCTCTGCAGGCCCCACCATGCCCCAGCCGGGGGCCTGCTCGGAAGGGGGCTCTGAGGGGCCCTTTCTGTGAGTTGATGATGAAGGGGGGCCTGGGAAGCCCCAGAACGGGGATTGGGGCATTGAGCTGGGCAGACATGGCCTAGGGCTGGACAGCTTCGCCCGCTGCTCTAGACCTGCAGCCTTATAGCGGCTCATCCCAGGGCGGAAAGCTCATAGGGGGAAGAGGAGTGGGCCAGAAGCACAGAGCTCTGCCAGCCTCTCTGAGCCTCAGTGTCCCCGTCTTTGAAATGGGCAGATTGGGGTACAAGTCCCCCCTTCCCACTCTAAGGGCGGGGATGGTATAAGAGCGAGCCCCCAGCCGCTCGGGGCTCCTCCTCAGAAACTCTCCACAGCATCTTCCTACTTGTTCAGGTGTGGGGGAGACAGGTGAGCTTTCCTGCCTGGAAGCTCAGTTTCCAGAGCCCCTGCTACTTGCTGCTTCCCTGAGCCCGTATACAGATGGTGGATGACCCAAATACAGACCCATATACACATGGTGGATGACCCAAATACAGACCCATATACACATGGGGGATGGTGCACTTGTTCTAACAGGAGATGCCCGGCTGGTGACCATTCCCCGGGGCCCCAGTGGCCCCCAGCCCCTCACTGTGGTCCTCACCCCAAGCCCTGAGGCTCCGAATCATCCTTCCTTTCTCCGGGCCCCTTTATCTTTTCTGAAGAAGACCTGTGGGCTCACGGGGTGGTGACTCCTGATGCCCTAAACCAACAGTCCTCCTACTGTAACTGTCTTCGCGGGAGGGTGGCGGGGCGGGGCAGGACAGCCAGGAGGAGGCAGGTCCACGCTGATCCGCACAGAGCTCCGTCCTGGGGGCCTCTTTCTCCGGGGGGCATTGACTGAATGTCTCCAAAGAGAAGGCTTTGGAACCCGTGTGGGGTCTCATGGGGAGGAGTCCCTTCCCGTCGGGAGGAGGGTCCCTGGGGTGGAGGTACCTGGGCCGGGGTCTGGGCCCCTCCCCGTGTGACCCCCTGCTGCCGGACCTAATGGGGTCCCCTGTGTTGTGTTCACAGTCCCCCCAGCTGCTCTCGCCAACGCCGCCCGAGGTAACTGCCCCCCAGCCCGCCCATCTGCTCATCGCTCTGCTGCCTAGATTATAAAGATAACCGACCAAGGCTTCCCCAGGAGGGCTCTCCAGGCCCTTGGCCGTGGCCTCTGGCCCTGGCGTCAGGCCGTGACCCTCTGAGGCTGGGGTGCCCTCCTCGGCCCTGGTTATTTTTATAATGGTGTCTCATCCGCATGCTTCCCCATGCGTCTGCCAGCCCTGCAATGCGGACATCTGGGACACAGGCGTCCTGCGGTCTGGTCCACGGCTTCCTTTAGAGGGAAAAAAAGTCCAGGGGCTGGGGTAGCTGGGGCCACCTCATCTGCCTCTGAGCAGGATTATGGGAATATACTTGGGGCCTTCAGGGTGAACGTGCTGAAAGCATTTCTGTATCAAATAGCATTTATAGGATGTGAGAGCGATCTGGTTGCGACATCTGTCACCCCATTGATCGCCAGGGTTGATTCGGCTGATCTGGCCGGCTAGGCGGGTGTCCCCTTCCTCCCTCACCGCTCCATGTGCGTCCCTCCCGAAGCTGCGCGCTCGGTCGAAGAGGACGACCATCCCCGATAGAGGAGGACCGGTCTTCGGTCAAGGGTATACGAGTAGCTGCGCTCCCCTGCTAGAACCTCCAAACAAGCTCTCAAGGCACATNGCTGGGCCGCGCCGTGACTCCGGCCAGGGTGCCGAGCTGCAGCGGGCCAGCGGTCTGCTCTGCCCCCCTGCCTGCGGTGCCACGCCATCTCACACCACCCGCTCTGACCACTCGAGAGGGTGGCCCGTCCTGCTTGAGTGGAGTCTGTGTTGTCGGTGACTCAGCTGAGCTTCTGGGCCCTGGGGTTCGGGGGCTTCTCACCTCCCACACCTGGGGAGCCCCTGTTGAGGCTGGTTACAGAATCTCTGTGGGTCTCAAAGTGTCTCCGAGGACCCTTGGGGGCCAAGGATTGGGCCAGAGGGGGACTGAGGGGAGTGGGGGAGCCAGGTGCCTTGGAGCCCAGCCCCAAGGCGGTGCTGTGGGAGGGGTGGATACCATCCCGCCCTCCAAGTGCCAAAGGATGCTCAGGCCGAAGGGAGTGTCAGCACCAAGGCCAGCTCCCTGCCTGGCTCTTCAGAAGTGTCCTGGCAGTTGCGGGGACTCCATCCTGGGGCCACGTCGAGTCAGCCTCCGGGGTCAGGCGCGTGGAGGGCAGAAGGGTGGGACGGGGTGGGTGGTGGTCCCGGCTCAGCGTTCACCGGGCTGTCTTCCTCCCAGGGGGAGCAGGACGACCGCTCCTACAAGCAATGCCGGACCTCCAGCCCCAGCTCCACCGGGTCGGTCAGCCTCGGCCGATACACCCCGACCTCGCGGTCACCCCAGCACTATAGCCGTCCAGGTACTTGCCCCCACCCCTCACAGCTTCTCTTACCCCCGGAGCCTGTGCTTCTTGTTGCTTTTCCTCTGAGGCTTCTGTCTCTTACCCTGCGCAGCTGGAGAAAGGACGAACAGGGAGATGGAGAGCTGTGCTGTTAGTGACAGAAGCAAAAGGCCCTCTGCGGTCTGGGTGGGGAGGTGAAGTGCAGAGGCGGCGGGTTAGCCCGTCGGTTAGAGGGGCCATCCTGGGAAACACCCGAGGCAGTGCTGAGCACGTAGAACCCAGCTCACGTGTTGGTGTCGGGAAGGTAAAACCACAGCCAGCGCAGGAGTCACCAAGTTCTGAGCTCACGGAGTCCTAGGGAGGTCTGCGCTACGAACGCAGAATCAACGGGCAGAAACTGGCCTCAGCATACATGTTGACGCTTCCCTGTATCTGGGTCAGTGGCCCCAAAGACAGCCGTGGGGAGAAGCCTGAGGAGGGTCCTCTCTCCCCCACCCCGGCCTCGCCCCTGCCTGGCACCCAGCTGTGTGTCGCTTCCCCTTCCCGTTTAAAGCTCCGAGCTGCCTCACTGTGGCAGAGCCACACGGACTCCACGCAGAGGCTGCTTTCCTGAGAGGCTTTTCCAAGCATCTCCTCCCCGGCCAGCTGCTGCATGGCTCCTTTCTCACCTCCCTGAACTCAGCGCTCGAGTTTTGCGGTCCTTGTGGAAAAGTCAAAGCTCCACTCATTGGCAAAGTTATTTTCATTACCTCCCTGCCATGTGCCTGGTACATCTTGCTCAATAGAAGTTTGGAAAGTCCATGAGTGAGTGAGTGAGTGATGAGTGACTGACTCAGTGAATGAATGAGTAAGTGAATGCGTGAAAGAGTGGGTGAATGAATGAATGAGTGTGTAAATGGATGAATATATGAATGAGTGAGTGAATGAATGAGTGGGTGAGTGAATGAATGAGTGAGAGAACGAATGATGAGTGACTGACTCAGTGAATGAATGAATGAGTAGGTGAATGAATGAAAGAGTGGGTGAATGAATGAATAGATGAGTGAATAAATGAATAAGTGAGTGAGTGAATAAATGAGTGGGTGAATGAATGAATAGATGAGTGAGTGGGTGAGTGAATGAGTGAGGGAATGAGAGAGGGAGTGAGCGACCAGGCAGGCGGGTAGGTCAGGGAGAAGGGCCGTCAGCCTCTCTGAGGACCTCTCTGTGGACCCCTGACCGCTGTATTTGGGTCACCTGGGCTGGCCAGCTGGTGCTTGGCTGGATGGCCACCCCAGGGTCAAGGCCTGACCCTCTCCTGGGTGAGGCCTGGTGCCTATCCGGTGACCGACCCCTCCCCGATCTGGCTAACTGCCCTCCGCCCGGGTCCCAGATCCCAAGAAAACCCCTTCCTGGAGCAGTGGGCAGGACCCGGGGGCCCGCCGCTCCCACCCAGCAGGCCTGCGGCGGGCCTGGGCACCCTGACCCCAGCGGGCAGGCCTTCCACCCTCCGAGCCCGGAGCAGAGGCGCCCCGAGCATGCTGGGCAGCCCACCCCCTCGAGGGGCCTCAGAAAGGTGTGTGTTCTTGGGTCGAGACGGCAGAGCGGGGCCTGGGGCTCTTCTGCGGCCATGTGGCCGGGCGGGCTGACTCTGACTTGCTCTCTGTCGCCTGCAGCTGGTACTGCGAGCGTCGGTACCAGTAGCTGCCTGTCCCTGTCCCAACACCCAAGCCCTTCTTCCGTGTTCAGACATCATTACATCCCGTACTTCCGAGGTAAGGCGCGCGAGGCTGCGGGCTGTGCCCCGGCCGCCCGCAGAGCGTCCATGTCTCGCTGTCCTGTGTCCGCTGCCGCATGGCTTCCCCGAGCCCCCGTCTCACGCCCGTGCTCCCCGCTGTGTCTTGTGTGTCTAGCTCTGTTGGTGTGTCCGTGTTCCCAGGAGGCAGGTTGTCATTCAGAATCACGAGTGGCAAGGCGGGGGGAGGGTTCTAGGACCTACCCAGCGCCCACCTTGGGCTGGCTCCGGAGCCTCTACCTAAGTCATCCTGTGTTATTTCCCCCTCGGCTCGGCGGGCGTGGGGGACTGCTCGCCACAGTTATCGGAAAATGTCTGTGGCTTCAGTTCATGGTGGCCGGGCACCGCCCGTGGCTGCAGCTCCTCCCAGGGCGCAGACCTGCCCGTCTGCCCCACCCCTGCCTGGGCACATGTATGTGAATCAGTCCAGGAAAAGGGCCAGTTCCTGTGTTATGGACTGAATCGTGCCCTCGGATTCATTTGCTGACGTCCTAAGCCCCCGTGAGCCTACGTTTGGAGAAAGCGTCTTTAGGAGGTTATTAGGGTTGCGTGAAGTCATAAAGGTGGGGCCCTAATCCGATAGGGTGGGTGGCCTTTTTGGAGGAGGAACAGACAGTCTCTCTGCGTGTGCTCAGAGGAAAGACCATATAAGGCCAGAGCAGTGTCTTCTGCTGATGAGAGAGGCTGCACCTGAGACCCAGCCCTGCCAGACCTTGATCTGGGACTCCCGGCCTCCGTTCCTGGGAGAAACGAATGTCTGCTATGCAAGCCAGGCAACCGAGGTGCTTTGTTACGCAGCCCTAGCTGACTGATACACCCTGGAAAGACTCCCAGAGCACAAGGGGAGCAGCGGTGGTCTGTTGGTTCCCCCGGAGTGAGTTAGGGTCCCCGTTCCTCATGGCTGCTGAGTGCAGAATGTTTCAGGAGAACTTTCTGACCCCAAGAGACCTGGAGAGGCCAACCCAGTGGGATTAATGCATCACTGATGGTCACCCATCCCGGCTCCTTGGAACTTGGACGGTTCTCACGTGCATCATCATCACCCATCTGAGTGACCCCGTTAGTCTAATGGAGGAGAGAGCCCCCTGGTCAGTGGGGTGCCATCTGCTCCTCTCTGTTGGCCTGGCCCTGCAGCTCATGGACTTTTTTTCGACATCCTGGCTTTTCTGAGAAGGAGCAAAGCCCCCAGATCTTGTGAGCAGGAGAGCAGCGCGGCTCACATGCATCTGTGTAGACAAGGGTGTCCTGTGATGGGTGTGGCCTCACCCAGAGGCAGACAGAAGACTCAGTGCAAGTCAGAGGGAGCTTGACATTTAGACACGTCCCCTCAGGTCACCCAAGCAGGCGCCCATTCTTGTTTCGAAGGTCAGAAGGCTGAGCACACGGCTTTCCTCCCGCCCAATGTGACCCTGCTTTGGGGTCCCTGGCAGAGGTGCAGCCCAGAGGCGAGGCCGGGCAAACTGCCCTACCCTGGGAGCTGGGCTGACTGCCCAGGAAACGGCTTTGTCCACATCCGTCCAGGCGGCCCCGGTGACTGCCCTTCCGCTCCCCACCCAAACGTGGCTCAGAGACTGTGCCACAGCCCCTCGAAGGGCGCCCCTGAGGTCAGGGAAGGGGGGGCATGGTGCCCTGCAGTCTGTTCCAGGAGGGCTGACTCCACGGTGGGCCACCCTGCTTCCCTTCTGCCTGCTCTTTCCCCAGTTCTCTTTGTCCAGGAATCGGGCAGAGCCCCCACCCTCCTCTCTCATGGAGGATGTGGGGGGTGCTTGGCACCCCCAGGTCTGCCCGCTGCCGACTTCCAGGGCCGCCCATGACCTCAGGAGCCCCAGCTCCCTTCCCAGACTCTCCCCTGGGGAGATGGAGGCGCAGGGACAGCTCGCTGGGCTGGACCCAAGGGCGGGCCCTCGCTCACCAGGTGCGTCCACCTGCAGGCTGTGGAACCACTCCCTCTCCCCAAGGCCCGTGGGCTCTGGTGCATCGCAGCCTGTGGCGCTCTGTGGCCAGCCGTGCCAAGGGCCACCTGCCTTCCTTTCAGCTGGTCATGGGGCCTGGTGTCCACCCGCACGCCAGGAAAGCCTTCTCTGGTTGCTCCTCCCAGCAGCTCAGCTTTCTTGGCTGCCCCGCTGGAGATTTTCCCTCCAGATGATGCTACGGGTGGAGGACTCACCCAGGAGGGACCAGCACTTGCCCTGACCTGGCCACATGCCCCTCTGTCCCCACCTCACCCCTCCATCCCCAGACACACCTTCCCACCATGTCCTGGCTCCTCGGGCCACCCTCCTGCCAAGACCTGTGTGCGGCATAGGTGCCCGTGGCAGTCATTTACACTTTAGTATGAATTTCAGTCCCTGGTGTGTCTCCCGGGACAGTGTGAGGTTTAAGCCTGACCTCTCTCCTGTTACGGAGCAGGCCACAGGGACCAGCCGGTGAGTGCAGGAGAGGTGATGCTGGCAGAACCATGCTGCTGGGCAGTAGGGGGAGGTGACCCGTGAGCCCCCCACCTCAGTGTGAGGGGGAGAGGGGGGCTGCAGAGGTGGAGCCTCTGGTCGGAGCCCCCTTGACCACCTGATGGCTGTGCCTGTCGGCACCTCCTCATCTCACCTGCTTCTGGAGCCGTCTGCCTCGTGGCTGTGATCAGCCCAGGTGGCCTGAGGCAGCAGGCTGGGCAGGTGGAACCCGCCTGCATCGTGGTGTCCCATGGGAGCCCCACAGGGCCTGGGGGCTGGCCTCACCTCTGGTCCCCTTGAGAAGATCACGGAGCCAAGTGGGGGTGCTCCTGAGGGCTGAGTATGGACTGCTGAGCAGCGGAATGAAGGGCATTGCTGCTGAATCGGAAAGCAGAGTGCAAATGTCCACGCATCCACACCCATGTAAAGGCATGACCGAATATTAAACCAGTGGGGAGAAGAGACCGACTCCCGGCAGAAGAGACCCCAGTGATTCTCGGGGACCCTCTCCCCTCCCCGCCATCAGGTGGAGGCTGTGCCTGGCAGCTTCCCCGCAAAGAGCGCAGAGTTGGGGGAAGAGGAGCCGGACGTGGAGAATCCTGGGCCAGCACGACCTCGGCCGTGGGGTCAAGGTCAATCGCAGCGCCAGATCACGTGGGTGGCAGCGGGGGAGGGCCCCTCCCCTCTAGGCTCTTCCCCTCAAACCTGTGACCCCATCCCATCACGAGAAGACACCCGGCAAATCCTCCCTGAGCGGCAGTCTGCCAGACGCCCGCGCGGCGCTTCTCAAAACCGCCAAGGTCGCGAGGTGCCCGAGAGTGAGAAGCGGTCACAGCCCCGGGGGGCCTGGGGGACGTGAGGACCGTGTCGTCTGGCGCCCTGGATGGGTCCCAGGGTACCCAAGGGACGCAAGGGGAAAACTGCTGAAATCCGAGTGAAGCAAGCCGAGGTGGCGACACGCCGGCTGCATGTAAGGTGGAACCACGTGGGGATCACAGCGAACCTCCATGTCGCCCGGAACCGCTCCACAGCAAAGCAGTGACTCCAGCAGGCAGGGGAGACGGCTGTTCACGGGCCGGGGCTTCCCGGGCTCCGCGATGGCCCCTTCCCGAGGTCCTCACGGCTCCCTGAGGGTGCTGAGGACCGTCCATAGCAGAGGTCAGAAGCGACCTGCATCCTGACCCACCTCCAGGAGAAGCCATGCATCTGGGCACGAGGGACTATCTGCCTTTTCAGTGTCGCCGCACGGTTGGGCTTGCCTCTGGATTCTCCCATCCCTGGTGACGTTGGTGGTGGGGGTTTTGGCCACCAGGACCCATGGGGACGGAAGTGCCTGGGGCTCGGTCTCGCCAAGACCCCAGGCCCTGCAGAAGGTGGCCGTGGGGAAAGTGGTCTTGGAGGCCCCATGTGGGGTCGATGCAAGTGTGCATGTTACCATGGATTAGCGACACAGTGACTGGCAGGCGGGCGTGTGTCCAGAGAAGGGAATGGCCGGCTGGGCTGTGTCCTCTGGGAAGGGTTTGCACCTGAGTCTTGACCCATGCCGAGTCTGGACAGGTGGGGAGGTTTGGAAAGGGGGTCCCCCGAGGTAGGAGTGGGGGTGGTGAGCAGAGACAGATTGGATGAAGTCCTAGTCTTAGAGACTGGTGACCAGTGAAGATGGCAGGTGTGAGGTGGGTGTGACCTGCCCCCTGACCCCGATGAAAGCCATAGTCCTCCTCAGACACACATGCGCGCGCACACACACATGCACACGCACACACATGCACTTATACATATGCACGCGTGCGCACACGTGCACACACACAGGAGTCTTGCTTGTGAAGTCGGATGCCGCCCGGTGGCCCTGAAGACTGGGGAGGACAGGGTCCCATGATGTGCTGGAGTCTGCCCCACCTGGGGGGAAGCAAGAGAAACGGGCTACAGCGCCCCAGGTCAGGCCGTCCTCAGCTGCTCCTGATCCGAGCAGATGAGTGTGAAGCCCCGGCTTCCACGTGTCCTGTGCCCTGGGGGTAATGAGTCACGGCCAGCAGGGCGGGTCTGCGGTTTCCTTCACGCGCCCCATGGGCGTGGTCTACCCACGGGGAAGTGCAGCCCAGCCTGAGGCTCCAGAAGGCTCTGAGCTGTGCTGGAGGGCGGTGCTAAGGGAAAAGAGGGCTTCATGCCCCCTCCCTGGGTGGGGGACAGTCCTCTACCTGACATTCTGTCCACGCTGACAGGTGAAACTGGTGCCCTGGCGGGAAGCTGCTGAAAGCTGCAGTCAGTCTGGGGAGCTGGCTGTGGTCTGCTGCACTCACCCTGCCCCTTGGACCCCCGAGGCAAGAGCATCCCCCAGGCCCATCTACCGCCCCACCCCCGTTAGCCCACCTCCATGTCAGCCCGCCCCGCCTCATCACGTGTCACCCTGGGGTCCTGCGACTCCCAGTCCAGGGTATTTTCAAGTCAAGGTGTCCCTTTCCTTTCACCAAGTTGTCAAGGAACGTGTCCTGAGCTGAGGGCCGGGGAGTGGGTGGTGCGTCTGTGTGTCTTGCTGAAACGAGCCGTCCACCTCTTGTGCCACGTTCAGTGCCCATGCCACCCTGTGTACCACCCCATCCCTTCAGCAGGTGTGGGGCGGGGAGGGGAGGGTCACCGGGTGACCACGGCTGTCTAAAATCTGTGACTTGATAATCCAACCTGGTCCGCAAAAACGGAACTGACAGGTCCAGATGGGGTCAGAGCCAAAATCAGAGGGCTCTTTCCGTTTGGTTTGGAAAAAAAAAAAAAAAACTGCTTTAGTTGGGAACACGGCAGCTGATGAATGCCAGTTGCCTCTTTTCCTCCCGTAGCTGATAAAATTGTCCTCAGTGGTTTTTAATAGACAGATGTTGATGAATTCTGGCACTTCAGTCCCCTGTTGTGAATGGATGATTTGTGAATCCTCCAAGAAATCAGCGTCTTTTTACACAAGGATACTTAGGAAGAGCTGGGGGCATTGAGTCTTGGTGAATCTGTGATTTTTTAGATTCAGGCAGCAGCCTGGCCGTGACGCCCCCTCCCATAAAAAGGGGGCACTGTCGATGGCCCGGCCAGCCGTCCCAGGAACTTGGAAGCAGGCTGGGCCCTCCCCTGGGCGCTCCTGCTCCCCCACCCTGGGGCCACGGAAGGCGGTCCCTCGAGGTTGGATTAACGAGTCGTGGGGCCCCATCTGGAGGTGTCGGTGGCGGGGGGTCACACTCCCTCCCCTGGGCAGAGGGTGCGGAGGCCCCATGAGGCAGGGGAGATGGGGCTCCCGAAGCTCTCACGCTTGAAATGCTCTCCTCTGCTTCCCCCTCCCGCCTCTGTCTGCCGTCTTCGCTCTTCCGTCTGGAGGCAGTGAAAGTGGCCGGAGCACTCCCAGCCTCTCTGTGCTCTCAGACAGCAAGCCTCCCCCCTCCACCTACCAGCAGGCTCCTCGCCATTTCCACGTCCCAGGTAGGCGCCCAGGCCGCACGGCCACTCACCAGGCAGACGGGCCGTCCCTGAGCTGTCGGGGCGGGCGTCTGCCGTTACCTCTTGGGAGTCGCATGTTCCCCCAGCTTCTTCATCCCCCACCAACCCCCCGCCCAATTCTGAGATGCTTTAAAAATCCTCAGATGGGTGGTGTTCACATCCCCAAACCAGCACATGTTTGAATCTCTCCCGAAGCCCCACAAACACTGGGGAGGCCTGGCTGCCCTTCCGGGAGTGGACTGGAGACAGGCCGGCCAGGTCCTGGTTGTCTCTGGACACCCGCTCCAGCCATTCTATCCCTCTGCCCCCTTCACAACGGTGGGTGGCATCTGGGCTGAGTGCAGCTGATGTGTGTGGGGCCTGGGTGCCCGTCACTGGGCTCCCCGATCCTTGCTGGGGACCCTGGGTGACGGACTGCTTGCTGACAGATGGCGGGAGAATGGAAACCATCACAGAGTGCTTGCTCACCCTGCTGTTTCTCTCCTTTTTTTTTTCTTTCTCCTTTCCCAGACACTGGCGTCAAAGATAACATCTATAGGAAACCCCCCATCTACAAGCAGCATGGTACATACAGTCGGATTTCTCTGCTGCTGTGTTTGCCCTGCATGCCTGTCAGTGCCTTTGCTTCTGAATGCTTACACTTGCTCTGCTTTGATAGATGATGGGGAGGGTAACCGCGGGGGGCTGCAGCCTGAACATTAGGTACGTGGTGTTTGCTGGCGGGATCTCGGGAGGCCCCTTCGTAAATTACAGCGGAGAGTGTGTCCAAGTAAGCGCCTCTGTGTGTGTGTGAACCCAGGGCTGACTCGTGGGCCAGGCTGCAGATGAGGGCTTGTAACGGCAAGCTGGTCCCCGTGTGTGGCTTCGGGGGTACTGCTTTGAGGGGAGCAGCCAGGCTGCCTTTAGCCCAGATGGAGAGGGACGAAGGTGCTTGGACCCCAGGGTGACCCAGCCTGGTCTTTGGAAAACAGCACAAACCAGAATCAGTCCTTTAGCCCTCCGTGAGAATGTATAAGTCCTGTGTTTTGAGAATCTCTGATGGTAGAATTAACGACTTGGCCTTTGGCTAAAGGGATTTCAAACCTCAGCAAATAGGGGCCGGTGATGTCTGCCGGCGAGGGTGCCTCTCACCGCTCCCCACCCCTGCCCCTGCCTCCGGTTTCCGTCCCAGACGTGGCCAGCCATCTCCACTCCACTGAGCCTGCAGGGGTCACGTGTTCAGGGGACAGGAGGCTCCAGGTCTCCCCTCTGTTTCGTCAGAGAATTTCTGGTGATTCGGGATGTGTTGCTTCACCATCCTGAGCCTCTGCTTCCTCATCTGCAGAACAGGGATCAGCCTCCATCCTGCCTTTTGGACAGGCTGGTTGGAAGGACCCGGGTGGGGTAATGAACGTGAAATCACATTCTAAACTGTCGAGGGCTGTGCAGGTGATGCGGGATTGTTATTAAATCCCTTGAGAGACGGGAAGGGGAGCTCCCATACTTAAAGTTCTTGCTCAGAGGCATCCCCAAGACGGCCACGACCCCTGTTGACAACTGGAAGGATGCTGTGGGGTGAAAGCCGTCAAAGTGTGTATTCTGGACTTCCCAGGCGATCCAGTGGTTAAGACTCCGCACTTCTAATACAGGGGGGCGTGAGTTCAATTCCTGGTCAGGAAACTAAGATACTACATGACACGCAGCGTGGCCAAAGATAGTGTGTTTTTTTTGTGGCTTACTGGGCTTCCCAGGAGGCACGATTGGTAAAGAATCCATCTGCCAGTGCAGGAGACACAAGAGATGCAGGTTCGATCCCTGGGTCGGGAAGATCCCCTGGAGGAGGAAATGGCAACCCACTGCAATATTCTTGCCTGGGAAATCCTCTGGACAGAGGAGCCTGGTGGGCAACGGTCCGTGGGGTCGCAGAGAGTCAGACATGGCTGAGCACGCACTGGCTGGCTGGCTGGCTGGCTGTGGCTTACTGACAAGCCATGGTCTGTCTGTTTTATAAATTCTCTCCTTGACAGCAACAGGCCCTGTGCTTTATTGTATTTCTCCCTCTTCCCAAGAAAAGAAAAGACTACTGGGAACTCCTGGGCCTCCAGGAGGTGATGCCTTTCACTCTTCCCCTTGATCGGAGAAGCAGGGAACCCAGGTCTTCCCGAGGGATCAGAGAGGGCGGGGCTCGTGGACCCCAGGACCCTCAGAGGTTGTCCAGACCAGCCTCCCATGTCACCCGTGGGGAAACTGAGGCACAGGAAGGCAGGAGCAGGCAGAGAGTGATGTTATTCCCTCGGGGCGCCCATGCTCCAGCCTTGAGGCTGTCCTCGTCTGCGGGGAGAGCTGACTGACTTGGCCTTTGATCAGCCGGTAACACGTCACTTACACATACAGGGTCAGAGGATCATAGGAGGGGCTAGGCGGTAAATCAGGTTATGAAATTGCTCCCTAGCGTCTGATGGAGCCTGATGATCCTAGACTGAGAACTTCTCACACTGAGTCCCTTAACTGAATCATGCCACGGATATTGAGTTTACCTATTTTTTTTTTTTGGCTGCACCGTGCAGCTTGCAGGTCTAAATTCCCCAACCAGAGATTAAACCCACGGCTCCTGCAGAAGCACAAGGTCTTAATCACTGGACCGCCAGGGAAATCCCAGTTTGTTCTTACCAGGGGTGATCTTCATATATTTTTTTTAAATCTGGATATTTACACCTTTTCTATCGAAAGGCAAGTGAATTCCTGTTTGAACCCTGAGTAATGACCCAAGCTGTTTCAACGTTCTGGAACGTGGGCTTGTTGATCACTTTATGAAATGAGCCTTACAGAGTGTGTGNGAAAGGCAAGTGAATTCCTGTTTGAACCCTGAGTAATGACCCAAGCTGTTTCAACGTTCTGGAACGTGGGCTTGTTGATCACTTTATGAAATGAGCCTTACAGAGTGCGTGCTCTCTGCCGAGTGCTCAGCCTCGCGGTGGGGTGGACAGGAGCACAGGCAGCCTCTGCTTGACTATGAAGGGGCCGTGAGAGGGGCAGGAGCTCTCAGGGGCCGCGAGTCCTCGCATCCAGCTTTCCTCGGACAATCCTCAGGGTGCGAGGGATAGGTGTGATGGGGTGCATTTGAGATGCTTTGATTTTATAACATTTCCCCCTCTAGCTGGACCATATCCACCGGAAGTGCCTCGGGGGCGGGGGCATGCCTGTGCGTAGCATGCATATGTGTGTGAGCATGCAAGTGTGTGCATGTGTGTGTTTTCAAGTCCATGTGCAGCCCCTACTCCCCACCTCAGCAGCAAACTGACCGTCCACTCATCTCTCTAGGGAGAGAGGAGCCCAGCTCAGGCTGGAGAAGCCGTCAGTTTAATCTCCCGACTTGCCCGAAATAAACTCCGGGTGGTGACATTGAGTTCCTGGACCATTTAATTAGTTTGCTAAGTCACTACTACCAGGAGTAGGGTTCGAACCCACACAGACACATGTCCGTTGGATCTTAAGTCTAACGCCTTAACCACTCGGCCATCCCAGCGGTGAGAATCCTGGAGTGAGTTGCCACGTCCTCCTCCAGGGGATCTTCCTGATCCAGGGATCGAACCTGCGTCTCTTACTTCTGCTGCATTGGCAGGAGAGTTCTTTACCACTAGGGCTCTGTAGGAAGCCGAATGGCAGCCCACTGCAGTGTTTCTTGCCTGGGAAATCCCATGAATAGAGGAGCCTGGTGGGCTACAGGTCATGGGGTCACAGAGTCAGACTCGACTTAGCAACTAAACCACTAAGTCACTTCAGTCGTGTCCAGCTCTTTGTGAGCCCATGGACTGATTTTGCCAGGCTCCTCTGTCCATGGGGATTCTCCAGGCAATACTGGAGTGGGTTGGCATGCCCTCCTCTCAATTAGTTTAAGATGATGTATTCAGTGAGCTTTAAAAATTTATGCTTTTTAATTAATGTATTTACTATTTAACTTTCTATTGCCGAGTCATCAAAAGTTGTGTTTAATTTAGCAACAGTCTTTCCTGGTGCCTTCATCCCACTTGTGTGTTTGGGGAAATGAGCCTACAGCATGAGGATGGCCAGGCCTGGGGACTCGGCGAGGGGCGGGCAGGGGGCACTGATGCTGAGGATGGGGGTCAGGGTTAGGATTAGCGGTTGCATAGCTGACACAAATGCAGCATGTGTGCTGGGGTTCCACCTTGACATAGCCCGGTTAGTGGCTCCTCAGTCGCTCAGCCATGTCCGACTCTTTGCGACCCCATGGACTGCAGCACGCCAGGCCTCCCTGTCCATCACCAACTCCCGGAGTCCACCCAAACTCATGTCCATCGAGTCAGTGATGTCATCCAACCATCTCATCTCTCTCGCCTCTTTCTCCTCCTGCCTTCAATCTTTCCCAGCATCGGCGTCTTTTCCAAGAGTCAGCTCTTTGCATCAGGTGGCCAATGTACTGGAGCTTCAGCATCAACGTCAGTCCTTCTAATGAATATTCAGAACTGATTTCCTTTAGGATGGACAGATTTGATCTCCTTGCTGTCCAAGACAAGGAAGCTAAGGTCAGGACCATGAAGTGGCCATCGTGACCAGTTGATGGGCAAGTCACCCCCAGGTCTGCCTGACCCCTGACCCCGCTGCTCTCAGTTGACATCATTAGGGACCAACAGGATTTTCTTGGACTACATTAGTTCCATCTCTTGTCGTTCAGTTGCTCAGTTGTGTCTGACTCTTTCGACCGCATGGACTGCAGCACACCAGGCTTCCCTGTCCATCATGTCTCTGCTTGGTTACAATTTAATGACATGTTTTTAAAAAAGGAATGAGAAAAAGAAGAAAGCAAGCAAAGGAAGAGAGTGGAAAATAAGGACTGGCAGAGGGCGTTGGACAGGCTGGGGGTCCACAGGGGGCCTCCCACCGCCCACTAAACCTCCAGCTGTGACGGGGACCTTTCTGGGGTCCTTTGAAGGGCCTCGAGTCACCCGCAGTGTTGAGCCCAGTGTTGACCCTCTGTGAGGCGGACAGGACTCCCCCACCAGCCCTGTCTCCTGCTCTGGGGAGCGGGGTTCTGGCCCCCAGGGGCTCGTGCAGCCCCGTGATGCCTGGCCCAGAGTGGGGACTTTCCTCCCAGTGCAGCGGAGCTGGCCCAGTGTGGAAAGTGAATTCAAGAGGAAAACATAATGCCTCCCTCCAGACTTCCCAGGCAGCTGTCCAGCTGCGAGACCAGATGTTCTGTTTCACCAGCCAGAGCGTGGGAGCTGTTAGGTGGTGGCGTGCGTGGGAGGTGGTGGGGGGTGGGGGGTGCGCCTCACCACCTCCCACACCTGCTGTCAGCAAGGGGCTCCCTCTTGCCTCCCAGAGCCGCCCACTTGCACCAGGCCATAGGGGCCACCTGCGCAGCCTGTAACTATTTCCCTGGTGGCTCAGATGGTAAGGAATCCACCTGCAATGCAGGAGACCCAGGTTTGCTCCCTGGGTCGGGAAGATTTCCTGGAGGAGGGCATGGCAACCCACTCCAGTACCCTTGCCTGGAGAATCCCAAGGACAGAGGAGCCTAGTGGGCTACAGTCCTTGGGGTTGCAAAGAGTCAGAAATGACACAGTGATTAATACTTTTAAGAAATTAATCGCATCTCATATGTCTTTCTGGGATTCCTTCATAGTGGGGTGGAGGCTCATTTTGGCTTTGGGATGAGGGAAAGGGGATGGCTCTGGGCAGACCGCCCCTCTCATCAGGGCGCTTCCCGCAAAGGTCCCGGGTAAGCAGGGGCAAGGAGATCAGCCTAGCCGAAAAGGGTGCTCATGGCAGATACCTTCCACGGCTCGGATAGAGCCCCCTCGTGTGACAGGAAAGACACACACAAGCCCGTTTCTCTGCTTTTCCTGAACCGATCTGTCTGTTCCTGACACCCTGAAACGGCCTACTACAAATTAGCTGCATGGTTCACCTCTCGTTTGTTCCTAATATTTCAGACCTGTGAGCTGAGCATCTCATAGTGACAGGATCCATGTTCATCTCACGGGATCCTCTTCACGTAGGGGGGTGGGGCGGGTGTCATTTGCCCATTTTACAGATCAGGAAACTGAGGCTCAGGGCCATGAAGGGAGCAGCCCGCAAACCACACGAGGCGCCAGGGTCCTCTGTGTCCTTAAGCCCATCTCCCGTTTCTGGAGAGACCCTGCCGTGTGTTATACGGCTCTGGAAACCCCCCGTTTGAGTCTGGTTAGCTCGTACACACCTCTTGGAGCTGGAGGCTTTTGCAGAGAAAACGTGCTGCGTGTTGGTGGAATCCCCCCACCATCAGAGGTGGGGCGCTTCTTTGAGCCCTGAGCTGGCTCTCCAGCCAGAACTCTTCTGCCCCCATGTGACCCCCAAGGCTGCGTGGAGTCCTCAGACCCAGGAGGTGGGGGTGGGGGTGTGCTGGTCCCTGGGCTCCGAAGTCTTAGGAATCTCACACCCTCCACAGCCCTTTGGCTGGAGCCACTTAGTTGTTTGTGCGTTTGCAAGTTACCCCAACTGCAGCAGTGCCAGGGGCCTCTGCGGGCTGCTGAGGGGTGAGGCTCACTCACTCTGAGCAGAAGAGCCAGCCCTGGAGGCTGCCTCTGGGCTGGACAGTGGCCGAGCTCTCAGAGCCCCCAGTAGCCGCTGGCCGGATTGTCGCTGAGGCTGCTGTGCCAGCCGCCAAGTTCCCAGCTGATGCATGGCCCGACGCCCAGGGCTCTGCTGCCCAGCAACAGCCATCGTCTGGGCAGCGGGAGCGCCCACGCTGATGGGCGTGCATCCGCCTCTGTGCCCCGTCCCCTGCCGCTCCATCACGGTGCCCCGCATGCAGGCTTAGCACCTGTTGCCATCTGTCGGTGGAGAGAGCGAGGTCTTTCTTTTCATGTTGCAAACCGCTGTCTCTCCCGGGAGAAGGAGAAACAGCGAGTTGTTGGGAATAGCGAAATGTCAGAGTGTCCAGAACGGTCTGCAACTGTGACCTTATCTTGTCAAGGTCCTGTAGCCCAGTCCCCCGTTTCCAAGCTCTCGGGTCTGATGTCAGTCTTGTCGTTGGTGGTACACAAGGCAGGGTGCTCCCAAAGGCTAGAAGGTCTGAGCCCTCCGCAGGCTGCAGGTAAGGAGCCCACCCTGGGCGCGTCCTCGGTCTCGGCGGCTCGGTCTCCAGCCTCCATCTCTGTGGCAGGTGGCGAAGGACCCTGGGCACTTCCTTTCATGGTTCCGTGCGCGCATGGGGTCAGTGGTTTAGCTCGGGATGCACAGGATGGGTCGTTACTGAATTTGATGCTGACAACTGTCGGCCTTGCCCTCGTGTGGTTTATTTCATCCTGTTAGTTTGGAGATGATAACATAAGCCCAGCTGGGTGACCATCCCCACCCCCCAAAAAAAAGGGAAACGGAGAACACAGACACCTCTTGACTCAGCTCCAGAGAGTGCCGAGTGGCGGACGTTCGCGCGCTCTCTCATTGAGCCCACCTCCGGTCGTGGGTTGCACCCCCTCATTGCTCTTCCTGGAGTCCTCCCACTGGCATTGCTCACTCCATGTACTGTGTCTTGCGGGCAGTGAGGTGAGGCAGACAAGAGGAAGGACTTTGGTGTCAGACCGCCCGAGTTGCGTGTCAGCCTCTGCTGCCCACTGATCTGTGATCTCGAGAAAGTCACGTCAGGTCCCTGAGCCTCAGTGCTCTGATCTGAGAAATGGGTCACGTGGGGGTGAGCAGTAAAGTCTGTGAAGCCCAACCCAGCAGAGTCTGACCCACCGGGGGCTGGACCATGGGGCCCTTCTGTTGCTTTAAAGTTAAACTTGGAAGGTAGAAAGCGTGATCTTCGAAATGCCAAGCGGCCGAGGAAGGGTCGGCTGGAATGTTAATGAGACATCACTTCACACACCTGCTCTTGTTTTAGCGAATCCCATGCAAGGCCCCCCCAGCCCCTATTCCTGCAGGGATATTCCCCAGCCAATCTGGTTCCTCAGTCCTCAAAAGTACAAGTGCTAGCGACTTTTCTCTTTTTTCCATTTTGAGCATGACTGTGAAGTGGGAACCAGGATGTGCAAACCCACCACCGACGGTGCGCTCCCTTGACCGATCGATTTTTCCCTTCCAGCCGCGAGGCGATCCGATGGGGAGGATGGAGGTTTCGACCCAGATAACAGGAAGGTAATGAGGGGCAGGCCCGGTGTCGGGGGGCCTTCTCCAACTTGAAGCCGCAGCTCCTCCTTAGGTTCTGCACCTTAGGGGTCCGGCACGGGCCACATGGGACCAAATTTAAGGGGTGGTCCCACCAGCCTCCTCGCACTGAGGAAGTAGTGCCTCTTCTACCGAAGTCCTCATTCTTTGCTGAGGAACTTGAAAGTGAAAGCGTTTGTCGCTCAGTCATGTCCAACTCTTTGTGACCCTGTGGACTGTAGCCCGCCAGGCTCCTCTGTCCATGGAATACTGTCCATGCCTCTGTCCAGGCAAGAGTACTGGAGTGAGTACCCATTCCCTTCTCCAGGGAATCTTCCAGACCCAGGGACAGAACTCAGGTCTCCTGCATTACTAGCAGATTCTTTACTGTCTGAGCCACTTTTGGTTCTTTAACCAACGAGATGACTGAAGAGAAAGGAAAATAAATCTTGAGTCCACCCTGGCTCAAGAGCCAAGACCCTTTGTTTGTCTTTAAGGAAGGTGGGTGAGTGTGGAAGGAGCCCAGGGCTGGGTTACCCGACACCTGCCACATGTGACCTCACTTGGGGCCCTGACCTCCCCAGCCTCAGTCTCCTCATCTGTAAAATGGGGCAGTGCCCCTGCAGGTCAAGTTGAAATTCACAGAGCTTCTGTTTTTTTCTCAGCAGAAGACCAGCTGGCTGATTCTCAAGGGGGAGGCAGACACGAGGACCAACTCTCCAGACCTAGACAGCCAGTCTTTGTCCCTCAGTAGCGGGACCGACAGAGGCCCTCCCCGGACGGTGCCAGGGGATAACTTCTACTCACGTGAGTGGTTCTTCTGAGCAAGAGGCCGTCGGTGTGGCATGAAAGGCCTTGTAGAAAAGGGGCCCATGACCTCGAGCTGATCCCCCCCAGATCTAAGCCTTGCCCCTTAAAAACTCCGAGAGCAAACCTACAGACAAGAGGGCAAGTCGGGTAGGAAGCAGACCCGTAGCCACGCACTTTTCTCTCCTCGATGGTGTCCGAGCCAGCAGGCTGCCCGCAGGTCGCGCCAGTGCCCCGCTGAACTCTCCACTGCTGGGAGGAGGCTGACTCAGGCTCCTGGGGTCCTCGGGGAGGAGAGGGCTTCCAGGCTGGAAGTGAGGGCCTGTTTTCCTCTGGAGTGGACAGAGCGTGGTCCAGGCGGTGAGTCCAGACTCGGGGCCAAGAGCAGCGCTGTCCAGGGCGGTGTGTGAGAACGCTGACCCGTGTTATTGTGTGCCCCTCCTGAGCAAGGGGCCGGGACCCGGGACCCCATGTCCTCAGGGAGCGAGGTGGGATAAAGACCCCCATCTGCCTGATCCAGGGGATCGTGACACTCAGTAGGCATGCCCTTCAGATGTTGAGCAAAACTCCCCGTAACGCTCTTCATATCCGGAGGCTGTGAATTATAGAGGAAACAGCAGCAAGCTGGTGCACGCAGTAGATGACAGGCGGACTCTTTGGGTCTCGGCAGCTGTGGGTGGGTTTCTGTGGACAAGCTGGAGGTTTAGTTTGGATGTAGAGAAGGCCAGGGGGGGACGGGGATGAGTGTGAGAAAGCCCAGGAAAGACACTGGCTTTGCCTTGAGAGAGGCCTGAGTTCAAGTCCCAGCTGGACGCTGACCTTGAGCCAATTACGCCGGTACTGGGCCTCAGTTTTACCCGTGTGCCTGGAGGGGTTGTTAGCCACCCGGGGCGGGGAGGGGGCCCGGGAGCCGCCAGCGCTCAGCCGAACGCATAGTAGATGCTCAGAGAACGATCGCTTTTCCTCACCATCATCCTCATCCTCGTCCTCCCGACTGTAAACCGTCTCACAAATGAAGGCGCGTGTGTTCCGACGTGGGTGGGGGGCCAGGAAGCGTGGAGGTGACCCCTTGTTAAAGAAAACGTCTAAACAGAGCAAGCGTGTGTCGTTTTATGTGCCGTCTCTGTAGGCGGGCGTCCGTGCGCCCCGTGCCTCTCCGGCCTGGGCGGCCGCTGTCCAAGCGAAAGCCAGAGTCATCCCCACGGGAAGGTCACACCGGGAAAGACCCTCAGCAAGACTTGTTCAGTCGGCGGCCCGGGGCAGGAAAGGCCGAGGCAGGCAGGGTGGGGGTGAGGGGTGCAGGGCTGCTCACAGGAGCAGTGAAACGCAGACCCCGACCTGGCAGCTGCAGCCGGACCCCCAAGCCCCTCTCTGTCCGGGGAGGTTCGGGACTTGCCCGTGGCCCCGGGTCACTGGCCTTGATCGTGCCCCTTTCTGCTTTTCCAAATGGCAATTGTTTGGAAGGTGGAGACCTCCTACTGCGCCAGCCCCCCAGAGCACCCCAGCAGCACCCCAGTAGCCCCCCTTGGGGGCACCAAAGCACTAGCTCCCAGGAACAGACACTCTGGGGTCCTCAGGTGGGCTTTGCCAGCCTCGGCTCTTCCCTTGCTGGGTGGTGGGCAGGCCCATGTCTGAGGGGCTGGTGGCCTCCCCTGGTCTCTCCTCTGGGGTGGGGAGCAGGCAGCTGCTGTCCCTGGGGAGTCACTTCATGGCCTGCCTCTGGCTTGGGGCTTGGGGAGGGGGGGGCTCCATCTGGGGAGAAGTCCAGGCAGGAACAGGCTGCCTCCTGGCGACCTCCCTATGCCGTGCTGACCTGCCCTGTGACCTGGGCGTGTTTGTCCACCTGTCTGCACCGCTTCCTCATCTCGTGCCACACGAGGTGCCTTGGGATCGCTCCAGGCATTCCTCCCGGGCAGTAGACCCTGCAAGGCCTGGAGGCTGTGCAGCCGTTTTGGGCAATCACACACCTGTGAGGTCTGTGTCAACCCCATTCCTTGCCGCTGTGTTCCCATCACAAGCTGCAGGGGCGCCCGGCCTGCGGGAATCGCAGCGTCTGTGCTGGAATTCGTGCTTTAACCGGGCGAGCCCTCTGAAGTACAAACAACCTATGTCTTTGTTTGTATGTGTATGTGTGTGTGTGTATGTATGTGTGTACACGTGTATGTATACATGGGTGTGTACACATGTGTATGTGTGCGTGTATGTGTGCACAGCTGTACATGTGTGTATACACGTGTGCGTGCGTGCAAGCCTGTACATGTGTGTGCGCGCATCTCTACGTGTGTGTGTGTGTGTGCGTGCATGTCCTCCTTCAGGGATGCAGGCTCACAATGAGTGTGATAATGCTTCTGTCATCGCTTCACTTTCTGCTGGTGTTCTGACATCGGTTCCTGCAAATGGGAAGCCCACAGTGTCTGACCACTGCACCTGTGACTTCATCTCTGCCCTGGTGATACCGCTCTGTTCCCATCCTGCATGGAAATGGCAACGAGGACCCAGGCTGCTGGTCCTGCCTAGGTCGGGCGTGCCTTGCTGTCTGCCAGCCTTCTGAGAAATTTGGGCGGACGAGCAGCACCCCTAAACAGAACAGAGGGGCATCCACCTTCTTTTCTCAAGTTGCATTGAGAAAATGCAAGTGGCCCCCAATCGTGAGTGCATCAACCCCAGTTTAATTTGCAGTCTACTGAACAGAGTGGTTTGCACACAGCAAGGCTGGCCTGCCTGCATCCTGGAACATCATCCGTAGCACACCAGAGGAGGGTAGGACTGTGACACTCAACACAGCGGGCGCTCAATAAATGTTTGTTGAATTGAGATGCACTAAATTCAACGGGTATTTATCGAGCACCCACTCTGTGCCAGACGCTGTGCGGGGCGCTGAGGGAGAAACTGAGAAGACAGGAGCGGCCCCCGCCCTGGAGAAGTGTGCAGGGAGCTGGGACAGGCAGAGATGCTGCTGGGAGCCAGAGCACGCACCCTACTGCCTGCCTGGGGTCCTCCATGGGCTCACAGGGGCCAGGCACAACCTCATCCCACTCATGACACCATCAGCACATCTCACCTGAGGCTGAATTCATCGTTCAGTCACTCACCCATCCCTTCACCAAACATTAACTGAGCACCTACTATGTGCTGGACACAGTGCTAGGCAGCAGAGAGGAGGTGGTGAATAGGACCCAGTCCCCGCTCTCCCGTAGGGAAGCAGGTGGCTGAGAAACCTGTGTGATATCTCCCTCCTCTAAGGCAGTGGTTCTCAGCTGGCACGGCTCATCCTTCCGAAGAGGTCTCATTGAAACACACGTTTTATGGTAGAGTGCCGTTCTCTTCCTTTATGCGGCACCTCAGGCGTTACCTGTACTAGGCATGTACTTGTCTGCATTTCCCTGGTGGCTCAGCTGGTGACGAATATGCATGCAATGCGGGAGACCCAGGTTCGATCCCTGGGGTTGGGAAGATTCCCTGGAGAAGGGAACAGCAACCCACTCCAGTATTTTTGCCTGGAGAATTGCATGGACCGAGGATTCTGGTGGGCTAGAGTCCATGGCGTCACAAAGAGTTGGACACGACTGAACAACCAACACTTTCACTGGCTTGCTTTCTTTCATGCCTGTAGCCAGACAGAGGAGGGTAGGACTGTGACACTCAACACAGCGGGCGCTCAATAAATGTTTGTTGAATTGAGATGCACTAAATTCAACGGGTATTTATCGAGCACCCACTCTGTGCCAGACGCTGTGCGGGGCGCTGAGGGAGAAACTGAGAAGACAGGAGCGGCCCCCGCCCTGGAGAAGTGTGCAGGGAGCTGGGACAGGCAGAGATGCTGCTGGGAGCTAGAGCACGCACCCCACTGCCTGCCTGGGGTCCTCCATGGGCTCACAGGGGCCAGGCACAACCTCATCCCACTCATGACACCATCAGCACATCTCACCTGAGGCTGAATTCATCGTTCAGTCACTCACCCATCCCTTCACCAAACATTAACTGAGCACCTACTATGTGCTGGACACAGTGCTAGGCAGCAGAGAGGAGGTGGTGAATAGGACCCAATCCCCGCTCTCCCGCAGGGAAGCAGGTGGCTGAGAAACCTGTGTGATATCTCCCTCCTCTAAGGCAGTGGTTCTCAGCTGGCACGGCTCATCCTTCCGAAGAGGTCTCATTGAAACACACGTTTTATGGTAGAGTGCCGTTCTCTTCCTTTATGCGGCACCTCAGGCGTTACCTGTACTAGGCATGTACTTGTCTGCATTTCCCTGGTGGCTCAGCTGGTGACGAATATGCATGCAATGCGGGAGACCCAGGTTCGATCCCTGGGGTTGGGAAGATTCCCTGGAGAAGGGAACAGCAACCCACTCCAGTATTTTTGCCTGGAGAATTGCATGGACCGAGGATTCTGGTGGGCTAGAGTCCATGGCGTCACAAAGAGTTGGACACGACTGAACAACCAACACTTTCACTGGCTTGCTTTCTTTCATGCCTGTAGCCAGTTGTATTATTGAGGAATCTGATTTTTGCCCAGGAAAGGGATGGTACTGATTTTCTGTTACAAGCAGAGGATGCAGTTCACAGGATGAAGGACCCCAGGATCCGTGGGCCTCTCCCCTGGCCTGGACCCCGTGGCCCAGCCTGCTGCTGCTATCCCTAGCCCTTCAAGTCCTGTCCTCCCTTTTGAGGCTCCCCACGTTCCCCCCACCACTCGGGGTCAGAGGTGTGACGATGTCAGACAGAGTCCCAGGCTGGCTGAGACCCTTCCCTGATCACTAGGTGAGCCCTGGAGAGGACCTCACCCTTCAGAAGGGAATCAGGCACGTGAGGGTAGGCTTGGAGGTCAGGGTGAGGACTGCTCTGCATGGAAACCAAGGCGACACAGAGGGGTGGTCCAGTGGGAGCCAGCACTCCCCACCCTGCCTGTGACTTTCCCGTCTTGTGTCACCTTCTGGGTGTCCGTCCCCGTGGAGTCCCGTCCACCTGTCTCCCACCTGCTGCCCACCCAGCCAGGGCCT